AAAAAGACGACGAGAAAGTAGTGGCATATGCGAGTAGAGCATTAACAGAAGTCGAACAAAGATACTCCCAAACAGAGAGAGAGGCGCTGGCTATTATTTGGGGAGTGGAACATTTTCATCTATACCTGTACGGAAACGAATTCGTTCTAATCACAGACCATAAACCACTAGAAGTAATCTACGGCAACAGAAACTCCAAAACATCAGCAAGAATAGAACGTTGGGTGTTACGCTTACAACCTTATGCTTTTCAAGTAAGATACAAGCCAGGAGCTAACAATCCGGCTGATTATCTATCGCGCCACCCAACAGAAAAAAGCTACAAACAGCAGAAAATGACAGAGGAGCATATAAACTTTATTGCTCGCTCCAGTGTTCCGAAAGCACTGACGATAGAGAAAATCGAAGAAGCAACGAACAAGGACAAGACCTTACGAGGAGTTCGGGCAGCTATAAAGCTCAACAAGTGGCACTACGAGGTAGTCAAGCCTTATAAACAAGTAAAAGACGAACTTACTGTGACAACAAAGGGCGTGGTTCTTCGTGGTTCTCGTATAGTGATACCAGAATCGCTACAGCAACGTGCGATTGACATTGCACACGAAACTCATCTTGGCATTACCAAAACGAAATCATTAATCCGAGAAAAGATTTAGTTTCCGAATATTGATAAAATGGTGCAAGCAACAATAGGGAAGTGCATTCCTTGTCAAGCAGTGGGTAAAGCACCACCACAAGAGCCAATATCAACGACAACAATGCCAAAGGGACCATGGGAAATGATACATTTGGATTTCTACGGACCACTTCCTTCAGGAGAATACCTTCTGGTCGCAATTGATCGCTATTCCAGGTATCCCGAAGTGGAAGTAGTACGCTCGACAAAAGCTTCTGCGGTCATACCCAAATTAGATCAAATGTTCGCCCGTCATGGCATCCCAACAACTATCAAGACAGACAATGGACCGCCTTTCAATAGTGCAGAATATAATCGTTATTTGACAGCTCTTGGAATTAAAGATATTCATTCAACACCTAAATGGCCCCAGGGCAATGCAGAAGCGGAAAGATTCATGCAGCCCCTTGGAAAAACGCTACGAACCGCTCACATTGAAAGAAGACCCTGGCAGCAAGAGCTACATCGTTTCTTGTTACAGTACAGGACAACACCACACTCTTCCACGAAAGTTCCACCAGCGGAATTACTATTTAACCGTACAGTGAAAGGAAAGCTTCCAGAATTGAAAAAGCGGAACATTGTTAACAAACACAATATTGCTAAAAAGAATGAAATGGAGAGACAGCGATACAACAAAGAATATGCGAATGAAAAAAGAAACGTAAAAGAGAGTGAAATTAAGATAGGAGACTATGTCTTAGTTCGTCAGGACAAGCAGAACAAATTGACTGCGAATTACAACAACGTTCCATACGTAGTCACACACAGATCGCATTCACAGGTTAAAGCAAGAAGCAAGAACGGACACGTTATCACACGAAATGTGTCGCAGTTTAAACGCATACCAAAGCCAAGGGATGATACGGACAGTGATGACGATAATGAGAAAGAACGTCATCAAAAGAGGAACAATACCATCACACTACCAGCAGCAACAAATGTTGGACATCAAGACCAAATACCGACACGACGATCGAGCCGAGTCAGAGGAAAACCTGATAGATTTGGACATTCAGTATATGATTGAATTATGTTTTGTTAAATGTTAATATTGTTAAAAAAAAAGGGTGATGTAATATACATAACTGCTATTTATAGATAATTAGGCTTGAACAATAGAATGAGAACTGATTGACAGTTAGAGACAGACAATAATATAGAAAGTGTATGAGAGCGAGAAAAGGTCAGAGCACATGAAAAGTAATATATATAATATAGAGAAACAAAATATACAGTTATACAAATCGGAGCAAGGAGTGAGATCATTATACCATCAATAAACGTATATCATCGCTTTCTGTAAACCATTCCGCGCTTGAATCAACCGTTCCTGTTTATAGAAAAGCATTAAACCGCTGTAATCACAAGGAACCATTTACATACCAATCTACAACCAATCCTAATAAAACTGGTACCTCATCTCAAGCCAATACCACCAGGCGACGAAACATTATTTGGTCCAACCCCCCTTTTAGCAAGTCCGTGAAAACTAATGTCGGTAGAACCTTCCTAAATCTTATCGATAAACACTTCCCCTCTCCACACCCTCTTCATAAGATATTCAATAGAAACAACGTAAAGGTCAGTTATTCGTGTATGCATGGAAAACATTAAATCCACCATCTCTAACCACAACCACAAACTGTTGTCAAACACTCCGCAAGCTTTGGATCAGTGCAATTGTCAAAGTGTGAAAAAATGCCCACTCGAAGGAAAATGTTTGTTCAAAAGCATTTTGTACGAAGTTGAAATAACATCGCAGAATAGCAATACAGTAAAAACGTACATAGGAATGACATCAAACACCTTTAAAGAGAGATATGAAAACCACATTAAATCATTGAGGCACCTCCAATATTCATCGGAAACTGAACTATCAAAATATGTGTGGAAGCTAAAGAATGACTGCAAAGAATTTGCTATAAAATGGCCAATAATTAAGCGTGCACAAGGCTATACCCCGGGTGGAAATCGTTGCAACCTCTGTACCGAGGAAAAGATTCAAATTATCAAGTCAAAGTCGGAAAATCTCCTGAACAAACGAAATGAGCTTTTCTCGAAATGCTGTCACAGAAACAAATTCAGCGCGTGGAATTTCAAACGGAAGAAGACCGCGTCAGCAACCAGAACGCGAATCAAACAAACCCATTAGAGCTTAGAATAGTAGTATCTCAATCGCTTGAAAAACGCATTAGCGTGAAACTCTGAGTAGCGATTTGTAAATATTATTAAGTAATAAAATATATATATATATATATATATATAGGAACTGGCAAAATGTGAAATAATTCTCAGACATCCAGAGCTATACCTTAGGGAAATCGCCGATCAATTAGAAAACGCTGACATTCGGTGATAAACGGGCTCTCAGATAAAATAAATGAAGGTATATTTTACTAATAGCCTGTTGTCACATTGTTTATGCCTTGCCAGCCATGGATTTAACGTTCGCAGCGTTTGCATGCGTAATTAAGTGCGACACGTGATGGAAATATGTGGTCACATGTCACAACTATTTGTATATATGTATATATTTTCGGACAACCTTTCCTAGATCCACTATATATATATATATATATATATATATATATATATATATATATATATATATATATATATATATATATATATATGTTCAGATATTTATATATATATTCAGATAGATATATATATATATATATATATATATATATATATGTATATGTATATATATATATATTATATATAATAATTATATATACAGTAGGAGGCAAAAGTTTGAGTCCAGTCGTTGTAGAATTCCAGTATTAAACCCTGGCAGTGTATTCGAGTAAGACATGCGTATTAGTGTTTCAGTACTGTAAACCATATTAATTACACACTGTTTTGGTCCTAATGATCTAAATAACAAAATAAAGTTCTTATTCCTTTACACTGCCCAAGATTGGTGGGAAAAAGGGCAAAGTGATGGTGCACAAGGACAAATAGTTGCATTAAGTATTGAGGGATTCTTTCCTCGTAAGATCGCAGAAAAAGTGAGAATTTAAAAAGGTGGTATGCAACTAACCTTGGAGAGGTTCGAAGAAACTAAATCCTACTCAAGCAAACTTTTAGCTTCTTCCGTCATGCTCGGTTTGGCAATATTGAAAGATATAATAGGATCCTAATTAAAGTAAAGTATCATCCAATTCTTCAAGGACATGGAATTTCATCTGGTACAAGGATGATCGCGTGTGTAACTACATGATAATCCCCATAAACACCTGCACATCTTCTATGTGCCAGAAATCGTTTAGAAGCAAACTCGTTTTGGTGATCTCGTTCTCATGGCTTTCCACCTCAAATTCCAGATCTGAAACCTATCGAGTACTTGTAGGACCGTTTTAACCGGAAAAGGGCGAGGCACAGACCCGCCAGCCAGAATGACTTGAGGCAAGTGGTCAACGAATTCTGGCAAGGTATTAAACGTGCGACATTAAGAAACCTATGGAGTCTATGCCAGCAAGAATAAACGTCATTTCAAGAGCAAAAAAGAGGGACACTAAGCATTGACATGAAATGCATTTTTGCACATTAACATACGTAAAATGAATATCATAACGTCTCATAGTTGTTGTACAGCATGTATTTTTCTGTTTACTCGTGTACTTTTTTGTAGTTCACTTATCGGTAAGGTTTTTTGTAGAATATTAATATATGCTGCTAAAACAATGAAATACAGTCACTGGACTCAAACTTTTGCCTCCTACTGTATATATATATATATATATATATATATATATATATATTCAGCAACCATAAAAAGTCCTTTAACCACGCCAGGTACGAGAAGGAAACTGAACTTTCAAAGTATATTTGGAATTTAAAAAGAAATGATAAGAAGTTTACACTTTCATGGTCCATCACAAAACGCGCGCCAGCATACTCGCCCGGTGCTAAACGATGCAACCTCTGTATTATAGAGAAACTGTGTCTTTTGCAGGGTGACGCAAACAAACTACTGAACAAAAGATCAGAGATTTTCGCCAAGTGCCGCCACCGAGAAAAATTCTGGACAGGAAATTTTAAACGCACGCGCAAACAAGAAAGTCGCACGTCATCAAACTTGCAACGAACTGAAATTTAGTCGCCTGGTTGTATATATATATATATATATTAGGGAAATATTTCCCGATAGAAAGCAACTTAATTGTATCGATTTGTTTCTCAATGTCCAGCAACGCTTTATGGAATCGAGATTGTGGCTCAACTAACATTAACTTAGGAAACATTTCACGATGCAAAACAATAATTGATTTTTTTAAGTCTGATATCTATAATTTAATTTTCCTTTTTTCGACAGGTGCGTCCCAGGACAATTTATCTCCACGAGTGTGAAAGTGATAGAGAAATATTTGTGAGTTTAAGACCTCATCTTCCTATCCGTAATACATCCTACAAATTCGAAATCGGATACGAAGAAAAAAACAAAAACACTTTAGCGAAAATATGCATACGGGGAAGAATATCTGGCGGCAGATGCTTAGCAGAACTTACAGAAAGGCACAAATTCTATTATCCTATGTGGATCAGAATAACTGCGGTTTGCCCTACAGTAGTAACTGGAGAAACGACAAAAGAAGTGATAGTGAAATTTCATAACGACCACTATATCCAGGGAAGTAACACTTTCTGGTCTAGTTACAAATTCCTTCCAATAAAGGTAAATTTATATATATAAATCGTTTGTACTTAGTGTACGCACACATGACAAATTCTCTTAGCTAGGTATATAATGAGAATACATGGCGAACTTTTATGATTTATCAAACGATTTGACCACTATAAAATTGTTGTACTAAAAAGCACGCCATGCATGCGTACTGAAAAATACAGCCAGCATACGTGTTATATAGCACACAACATGATTTTAATGAGTTCACCTTCTGCTGACTGACTGCACACCTTTCTTCACGAAGATGTGCTAATTTATTACACTATTTTAGCTTAGCACACATATTAGGATATCATGCACACGGATTTTATAAAGATAATTTGAATGTACATGAACGCGCTCTAAGTCATTGAATTCGTTCCGAATTTTCCTGCTTTGTTGGACATATATATGGATATATCGTCTACATGTTTTTACAAATACATTCCCAAATTTACGTGCTGAGCGACGGCAACAACGTAAAAGAATGTGAAATTATTCATTGTAATTTACAGTTATAGTGCATGAACAACGAATATAGGCCGTGGGATGAGCATCCAAAAGATGCTTAGAAAACGGATTCCGTTGCACCCCTCGTGGAACTACATAATTTTCACATGAATCAATAGATAAAAATTTACTTAATAGTGTTTCACATCAAATATCACTGCTGTTTCAAAGTAGAAGCTCGATAACTTATTTTATAGGTATTCAAAACAACAGTTTCAATGTTATTAGAACTCAGACACGAATCCAAGCTGTTCGCGATTACATGACTTCATTAGTATACATAAAGAGGATAAATTATATATTGCAGATGCACTTTTGTTTCTACATATGCCCATGCACTTTCACGTGACTAAATCTTTTTGTAGAGCATAAATGTAAATCACACTAGTGGTGTCTTTTGACAATCAAACCGTCCCTATACAAATTTTAGCTGCCCTTTTTACTAACCTAAAGTGCCCCTGGAAGCTGGTGTCCCCCCAAATCTTTGGATGTTTCTTACGACCCTATGTATACACGTCAGTAACCCCTCGCCAATTTAAACCAAACAACATACTAAACAGGACTAAACGTGAAATGATATTATTCGAGTATATTAATTTATGCAGCGAATTTGCAGTCGAGTTTAAGTCCATATACAAGGATAAGGTAAGGGGGATCAATATGAAATTCGCTGCATAAATACTAGAATAATATCATTTCACGTTTAGTCCTGTTTAGTATGTTGTTTGATTTAAATTGGCGAGGGGTTACTGACGTGTATACATAGGGTCGTAAGAAGCATCCAAAGATTTGGGGGGACACCAGCTTCCAGGGGCACTTTAGGTTAGTAAAAAGGGCAGCTAAAATTTGTATAGGGATGGTTTGATTGCCAAAAGACACCACTAGTGTGGTTTACATTAATTTTATGCTCTACAAAAAGATTCGGTCACGTGAAAGTGGGCATATGTAGAAACAAAAGGGCACCTTCGATTTTAAAATAGTGCGTGCCTCCTCTGCCTGTGTCCTACACCACTGTGTATGCATGTATTTCTAGTTTAAAATTTGAAGTAAACATGAACTTTCGTAAAGATTTGTTGCTCCGACTAAGAGCTCTTAATTTCATTCCAGGTAACAATGGCTTCAAGAAACACAAAATTTTGTAAATCTTTAACGGATCCTAATATTGAAACATTCGATCGTGACGGATGGTATTATTTGTCTGTTCCTTCTTATCAAATAAGAGCTATATAAGAATAGATGATAGGGAGTTACATCACAATAGTATAGTTTATATAGTTTAGGTGGAAACCTGGGCGGCTGGGCGCATGGGCTTCAACAATGTATAATATGCATTGCTAAGTTTTTGTTTATTGAACATGCCTTATCGTTTTCTTTTAAAATACAAAGTTTTTAACACATAAATTACATCTTTTTATCCTCTCTTGTATGAAAACGCAATGACCATGTTAGGTTGAAATCTTGGTTGTTGCGTTGAAAGCGCTTAAATATAGAAAAAAAATAACAATACTCGAAGTGAAATGGCCACAAGTAATATTCAGCTAATGCCTGCGTTTGAACCACACGTAGATTCGAAAAATACAAGCGCTAGATGGACCAGATGGCTCGAAAGATCTAATACATATTTGATTGCTGTAGATATTAAGGAAGATTCGCTAAACGTGCATTATTATTGTACCAGGCAGGACCAGTATATATAGTTTACGAAAGATTTAAAACTATGGAAGAAATGGAAAGTGAAGATTTCAAATCGGTAAAAGCTTTAACAGAGTACTTCAAGCCTGACAAAAACGTGGTATATCAAACATATGTTTCCGACAAGCGACACAACACAAAGTCAAAGTTGAAACCACAGGCGAATTTTATATTCTCGCATCAGCTAGAGGACTGGCTGGGTACTGTGATTTTGTAAGTCCGGGTTTTAAAATAGACATGCAATTTCTAATGGTACGTCGTCAAGATTAGGGAAAATAGCTTTACTTAAATGCAACAGCAACGACTGACATGCACCCTGTACAAAAAGTATAAAGAAAATGGGCGAGCGGATCTTCTTCCTAATAAAATATGGTCTTCTTCCTAAAAATCCGATATCTATAATTCATCGATGGTGCAGGGTATTTTTCCCCAATAGACACATATCGCTTCAATTCCAAAAATATCACCTCCTAGATCAATTGACGATGACCTCAGACCCATTTTTCTAACTGCGCGCATAGCAAAACTAATGGAAAGCTTTATATTCAATTTCCTGTTTTTGGAAGTCGAAAACGAATTGGACAAGAAGCAATTTGCTCTTCCTAAAAAATCTACTATTGACGCATTAGTGTACTTGCTCCTTCTTATTCATATAGTAGTCTTGGCAAGGAAAATTGTTCAGCTAGATTGTTTTTTGCTGATTTTAGAAAAGGTTTCGACCTGGTTGACCATAACGTTATCATCGCTGAACTCACGAGTCTAAACGTCCACCCAGTTATATTACGTTGAATTAAAGCCTTTTCAACAGATAGAGAGCAATGTGTGAAGCTTGGTAGTGTAACGTCATCATGGAAGAGAGTTAATGGTGGTCTCCCTCAAGGCACTAAACTTGGCCCTCCTCTCTTCGCAATTTTGGTTAATTCGCTTCTCGAAGACTGGTCTGGTCTTATTAAATACGTGGATGATATGCTAAGGCTGTGGAGATTATTCCTCGTTGCTCCACTGGCATTGACTTTATCATTGGTTGTGAATGACATTTCTGATTATGCTGGAAAAAGACGAATGGAATTAAATCCCAAAAAATGTAAAGAGATGCTCGTGTCTTTCTTGAAGTATGACTTACATTCTAAATCCCCTCCGTTGCACGTCGCTGGAACGGTGGTTGAAAGAGTATCCACGTTTAAATTGCTTGGTGTAATATTATCTGCCGACTTAGCGTGGGGTTCTCACGTCGATTATGTCCTTAAGAAGACGAATTCTCGATTTTACGCTTTAAGGAAGTTAAAGAGAGCTGGTGTTAGTCAGCAAGTTCTTATCCATGTATACGTTTCGTTTATTCGTTCTAGGTTGAATATGCATCGCCTGTTTGGTCAAATTTGTCTCAGGGCCTTTCCAATTTGATAGAGTCGATCCAGAAACGGGCCTTACGGATAATATACTTCCTTTTGTCTTTGAAGACGCCTTGAAGTTATCAGGTTTAGAACATTCACATATTAGAAGATCTAATCATTGGAAGGAATTTGCTAAACGAATACGAACACAATCACGTTATAATCCGCTTGAACGAATTTTCAGCCATGATTTTAATACTCCCAGTGATCAAAATTATAACTTAAGTTTGACAATGTTCCTAAGACTTTTGCAAACACTGATCGTTGTAGAAGTGTCATTACTTTTTAAATATTATTAGTTATGTTATATGTATTAATTGTAGTTATTTATACCATGTAATTCAGTTTCAGCTGCCAAACGGATTATTAAACCAATTATATATTATGAACGAAGATTATACGTATAAGTACGCAACGGTGGGGGCAAACGCCAAAAACGAATCGTCTGAATTGATAACCTTGTGTATAATTTAAGCATCAAAATTAAGTTTCGTGACGACAAATTCGTGACGATGTAAAATTAGTTAGGCAACCTCAAAGAAGAATACCATATCACATGAGAAAAGATGCCCGGAGATAAAAAAAAATACAAGAAGACATAATTGAGAAAGTCATTGATCAGCCGATCTCATGGATTTCGCTAATCTTGGTTACGCCAGAAAAGGATGGAGCTATACGAATTTGTGTAGACATGCGGGAGGCAAACCAGAGCACTGAAAGAGAATGACGCGTCATGCCAGCACTAAACCGAAGTCAACGGGGCAAAGTACTTTTCAAAAATAAATCTGAAACAAGCATATCACCAAATATAGAGCTTCATCCCGAAAGTCATTTTATTACAACATTCTCAACAAACGAATGATTATTTCAGTATAAATGACTAAATTACGCGACCATACACGTTCTCTTCACGCACGTTCTCAGTAATTCCGGTCAACAGGAATTGCACCATGTGGACCACTTTTCAATAGCCCAAAAAGGTGATATTTTATCTCAAATAAGAAAGTGCTCAACCAACATGCGGTAGCAAAGAGAAACTTGGAAAAGTAGAAACAAGAAAATAAAGAGTACTATAACCTAATTACTATGCTATTTACTCACGTCGCGAGGCAATACCACTGCTTGATTGCGAGCTTGCATGTAAATATAACAGCGGTAAAATACGCAAAATTTTGCACACTTATTAGAACTTGGCATGGAAAGTGAGAATTATATAAAATAATTCATTTTAACCTTGGTTGTTCTGATGTCCGACCTCCGGTTAAGGGACAGAGGGTGAAAACAAAATGTTTGAACATTTGAATGCGCATTTGCGCTGTTAACTTTGCGAACTGTCTTTGTTATCACAATCTTATTGATTTTTTTCATTTAGGTATTATAATCCTTACAAGGAAGGAACATTCCGTCTTTATCGTAACAGATTATCCGGAACAGAGGTAAATGTTGTAATTTAACAAGTAGATGATTGCCCAGGCTGACGAAAAACAAGCAAAATTCGCCTAACACTAATTTGAATGCTCCGGCAATTGGACTATAGAACCAAAGAAGACATCAGCCTCAACCAGCAAATTTTGAGTAAACCACAACTTTTAAAGGAACTCTTTGCTCGCTACCAGCAGATAATTTAACAAAATACTACGGTTAAACAAAATTAGTTAAGCATAGGGATGGTAACATGATATTTAGAAAATTTATGTGGGTTAGGGGGTTTGGAGGGTACGTGGTATGTGAGAAAAGAAGTATGGAAATATTTTTCTGGAAGCGGAAGTACTGTAGTCATAGCAACTCTCAACGGCCGTATCTTTTCAAAGATTCAAAGTTTACCCTCATATTTTTGTGAAAAAAGTTGCAAAAATACGAAAGATTCTTACCTTTTTCTGAAAAGATACTATAGAAAAATAATCCGGAGCCAGCTCCGTTTTCGCGAACCCGGAGCCACGGACCCGGAGTTGATATCCTGTCATGGGAGCTCTGGTTTCGAGAAATTTCGCAGTTTTTTAACAAAAATTCTAACAGCCAAAAGTTGCATCCATCAATATGACGTCATTATCGTTGTTATGGTAGCAATTGCGATTTAATATGGCTGACATCTTATCTAATCAAGCATTTTACGCGAAAACATTTTTAGTTACCCCCATATTGTATATTTATTTATGTAATCTAATTTAGAATATTTCTTTAAAGATAACAAAAAAATTGAAGGAATTTAATCACTTTTTCCCCTAAAAATTTTGCCTCAACAGAACTTTTTGAATTTCCCATTTTTCCTTAAGGAAACGTAACCGAACTTGCTTTTTAAAACTCAAAAGTGATAAATGTCATATTTATGGACAATTTCTGAGAATATAAGTTAATGCTGGTTTATGTCTAAATCACAATTTTGCCATATTTCTAACATTGCATTAGGTCAGGAATTAGAGTGAAAATCATAAACAACTCAAATTCAAGCGAGGAACAGTTCAGAAAAATGTGTAAACTATTGGTCGTCCTGCAGGAATTAAGTCTACGATTTTGCGATGCCGTGCAATGCTCTAAGACCATTGAATCTTCTTCCATTTAGGTACAAGCAAGACTAGATAGCTGTTGCAACTGTGGTGTCGCTATTAAAGAGGGATATTATTTTAAAATTGTGGAATTGTGTTCAAGTCTTCATCAAGCGCTGCCTAATATACGATCTTCACACCATCCAGATATGCCGAAAAATGGATTTTATGTTGAAAGAACATCAACAGAATTTACTATAGGTCAAGAAATTATCGTAAGTTTAGCTATGTACGATCAGAGTATATTTCACCATTGTGATAAATTGTAGTTTGCACCAAATGCTGGATTGCACGTGCAATAATAGCTATGTAACTATGTCAAAATGTAATGAGGGTATTTAGTTGCAATATATTATATTATTCTAGTACTAAAAATTTGTCTCCGATGGTAAGGTTGATTTGCCACACCCGTCTAAGTGATTATTGCATTTCATCTTAAAACCTAAGAACTTGAATACATGCTGGCGTTATGTGATTATGTAGTGCCCAGGTGTTTAGAGTGCACAAATAAATTTGATGATTATGAATTTTTCGTACGACTTATAGCCTCATAAAGGAACGAAACTTACGTTAATAATTGTTCCCTATTGCCTTAGACTATATGTGCGTTAAATTATATAGTTTAACCACAGTTGTTTATTTGATTTTAAGGTGCATATGCCTTCTGGAATAACCGTCTCTATTACACGAAGATGGTGGTCTATAGATATAATAATAAAGGCTCCTGAACCTTATGCGAAGAGGCCTGGGGACAAGCACAGGCATAGCGAAGGACTGTGTGGAAACTTCAATGGAGACCCAGATGATGATTACGAAGGGTTGACTATGCCAGAATTTGTTGAGACACACAGGTAAAATACTAATTTACAATTCCGGGTGTAAAGTCTAATTGCACATAGGTATTTTTCAGTGAACTCTAATAAAACCTGGAAGGCTAACTCAGGGGGGATTTAAACCGTGCTTTGAGGTAATGCCAGTCCTTTTTAGTGCATTTTTTCAAAACATATAGCACACATTTTGACTAAATTTCTTCCTATACCTTTATTTGCATTTATATTTTTTACCCGTATTTGCTTAAAAGTCTAGATATGAACCAAAAAATAAGTCTAAATATGAAATAACCTTTTAAATTAAGCGTGTTCAAGAGCACTCGCACATCAACGCTCCATTTCAACTATTTATTTTTCTAACGAAATCTCCACAATTTATAACTACGAAATTGTCGAACGATTCTAACTCACTTTTTATGTTGTTTTTTCTGTTTTTAAGGCGTTGCCAAGTTATATGTTCGCATTCATTAGTATTACCCTAATTAAAACCATTAAGCAAAGTTAATTTCCCTAAATGTTCCATACGTCCAACTACAGGTGCGGATCTAGGATTTTTCATACCTTAGTCAAAATTTTATGACGTCATTTATGACGTCACGTATGGCGTCACGCATGACTCATTTACTAGCATATTAAGAAGTTCGATTTTTTAAATGATAGTCTTCAGACTACCAGCTGAACTGCTTCGCCCCATATTAGGGCTCATCAGCTTGCCTAGGATACACTTTTAAAAATATACGCTAATAATTGTTTTTGAGATGACATTGAGGGGAGAATCCACTTATTCCCAAAGTATTCCTTAGTCCCTACTTTGAGTAGTCCCAACTTTTAGTATTATTGTTACTTACTAGTACTAGGACCGAAGCTGAAGCAGGAGAAGTAAAATCAAAATCACGCTAGATCAATTACAAAGTCAACATGATGATGTATATTCACTCATAATTTTCATATGAACGTATTTATACATGTGATATACATCAGGAATACGGAATAATAATAAGTAACTAAAAGTGAACATGCTAAGTTTGTGTCTTTCATATCATATTTAAGTTATATATTCATATATAGCAACCTTTGACCCGGCCAGCGCAGACATATGTAAATTTATATTTGAATACTTAAAAGACTAGCCATTCTTGTCGTTGTACGACAAGCATTTCGCCGATTTGAGATCTAAAAACACAGTTATATAGAAGCGTAGCATGGAATAAACAAAATATAGTTAGCTTATTGCAGTACAAGCCTTTTTTTGCCATTACGAGCGTGCTTCGGCACATATAACTCCACACAAACATTTGAGCTTAGCCTTGAGCGTGTCGCCTTCATAAATACAAAGATCGAACGTCGCATAAATATCGCGTCATTTAGACACTCTAAATCGTTCGAATGGCTCGTACAAATCACTACAACACGATGAAGACATTGTAAAATAACACAATAACAAAACGAACGCGAAAAAGCAGAAGCTAACTTCGAAATTTAATCCTTCGATGCTCATTGCGATTGAAATTTGAAAAGGCATGTTTCCACTGTTTGCCTAGTCTTTGCCTAACATGACTAACACAGGCATGCTTACGAAGCACTGTGATTGGTTCCTAGCGCTCTTCTAAATAATGCGCAAATTCTTCGTCAGAGATAAAAGAAAAAAGCGGGTTTTTTTCCTTTTTCAGAGTTATTGGAATTTCGCAACAAGACTAGATCATTGTAGTTCAATATAAAATACATATATAACGCAGGAGGCGTGAAAATTAGACAGAAATGTCAGTGGCGTAGCCAGCCTCACGATTTAGTCATCCTATGCAAATTTTATGTTATTAACATTATTCATTTCTTTACAAATTCATTGTTTTCACAGTCAATGAACACTAAAATATTAGCATAGCATGACTAAATTGTCGGGCTGGCTACGCTACTGAGAAATGTACAAAATAAGTAGCCACTGAAAATAAAAAAAAATGATACTGTCAAAGTTAAGTAATGTTGTTGTCAACCCCTTGCCTTTTTATACCAGAGTGACAGATTTCGCCAATATACTTTGATAAATGTTGTTGATTTAGTATGAAGAAGTCCAAATGGTATTAATTTTGTATTTGAGAACAAATATTGCATGAAAAAATTGCTCAATTTGTTTTATACCACAGGTAAGTTCACAAAAGTCACAAAATTACATAACCAATTTCAAAATTTTTTTTGTATACACGTGTACTAATAATACATAAATATATCTTTAAAAATTAAGTTTCCCCTTAGAAAATAAAAAGAATTTGGAAAAATGGGAACAGATAGTTAGAAGAAAGAGAAAGGATGGTGAATACTGGAGAGCAACAAAACACAGTTTTCTTTGCAGTAAGCATTTTGAAATCAACGATTATATACCGCCTCAAATCTGAACAGGTTCATGCAAAAAAAATTCCTTTCAATTTTTAAAATTGAAATGTTTGTCAACAATATATCAAAGGAAGCAACACGCCAATCCCAAATGCCAGAAAATAACTTACGTGCCGGAAGAAAGAGAGGTCAACTATCCCAAGAAGAACCATGGCATAAAAAAATTCTTCAACTTATACTTTTACTCTTCGAACAATATAACCATTATGAAACCCATCACTCATACGAAAGTGGTCGAGTTTCGTAGATTATGAACCAGGTTTAATCGACAATCCAACTTTGAAAGCCGAAGAAAACAAAAAAGATCGCTCCTTGGTGTTAGATGCTATGTCCATTATAGAAAACAAACACTTTTGGTTCCTAAAGAGCAGTATTCAAGATTTGTCAACTATGACGCCAAAGCACCGGAGGATCCAAACATGATTGCAACAGAGCACTTTCTCTTTTAGTTGGAACACGAACCAGATGAAAATGCCCAGTTGGATATTTTTATATCGGCAAAATGAATGCGTCAGTTCAAACAAAACTGGTTAGGATGGCTCTTAAGATGGCAGCTGATGTAGCATTACGAGTATGGACACTAACATCCAACAGTAGCGTAGCCAGCCTGACGATTTAATCATTCTATGCAAATTTTATGTTATCATTATTCATTTCTTTAGAAATTCATTGTTTTCACAGTCAATGTACACCAAAATATTAGCATGGCATGACTAAATTGGCTTACATCTGACATCCGATGATACATCCGTCAATATTAGCACATTTGAACAATTGGGCAGCATGTAGTACCAAATAAAAATCCATGGCCACCAAGCTAAAGCACCTTTAGACCTTTGTTACATGTTAAATCTTGCCAGAAATGCTTTGGGAGGTATTGGGTAATTCTTTGATAACAATGATAGTAAAAACCAATGTGTATACTTCCATGACTTACATAATCTTCAGGAAGCTAAAGGTCTGAAGTTAGGTAACAAGTTTTCATCACAACATCTAAAATATGAGAAACATAAAATGAACGTCAGTTTAGCAGCACAAACATCAAGTTCTTCTGTAGCAAATGCCATATAATTCATGGATTTTGTAATGCAGATGCGACATCTATTGCAACATCTATTGCACAACATCTATTGGACAACATCTATTGGACAACATCCATTGGATATTGCAACATTTATTGGACAAGGGTACAAGGACATGTGGACCTGTCCTCATATCTTCAGCAGAATATCTCCTGTCCCTATACTACCATTCTACTATAGTAAAAAGTTCCTCCCCACCGACAAGAGAAAGGCATTTGTAATTGGTTTTGTTGCGACCATAAAATCAACTATCGAAATGGCGAGTAAAATGTTTTCAATTACTGAAAATCCAAGTTTCTTCTTATAAATATTCACAAGACTATGTAGGGTTATTGTTCTTATGCATGAGATTCACAGGCGAATGGAAATGTCGAATAACAACCGAATCAGCTTGCAACTTAAATATGCATTGAGGAAGAGACTGTTCAGAAATGCTGTCAAGCTTCCAAACATGCCAACTGAATTGAATTTTCCCAAACAATAATTCCAATCTTTCACCAAAGAAAATACAATTCCCTTCTGATTTAAAGAGAAGAATGAAGCCAAAGATGGCGACAATTTCACCCCTACAGAACAAATGCTAGATGAGCATTTGGAGCAAAGAGGGGATTCCGAGTTTATTTCTTCTACATTGGTGGGTTTGTGGTTAGGAAAATAATGAAATATGTTACCTGCACAGCTTGTACAAGCTACCTTACTTCCAGTTTCAGCATTCCAACACTAGAACATGATTACTGTGGCTCAAAATCAGCAAGAAATCCATCTGATCCGCGTGCTTCAGCCGTGACACAGTTTATAAACCGGGGTGGTTTGATCAATTAATCGAAATCAGTCTTCACCATTCTCAAATACAGGTTTTCAAAGCCATTGTCAACCAGGATTGGAAATAGATAAGTTACGTTCAAGCGACGAAATACACATGCAGTAATAGATCTGAGAAGTGTGCCTTCACTTCATAGAAGAGGATTGTTGTCACTATCTTCGCTGACCATGAGCCCGGAATGAATGGAATTCTTGATAATCACAGAGTGAAGAGCTGTGAAGTTAATCAAATACACGGGTGACAGATATTTTACGCTTCGACTCTTCGCATACGGCACTCGGCTTTCCGAGTTGGTGATACAAGAAGGAAAGCCTCACGAAAGATTCCAATTAACAAAGTTAATTTTATTCAAAAATCAGTGAAGAAACAGCAGAAAATATTTGTACTTGAACGGATAGTTATGCTTAATATACGAAGCACAAAACACAAGCTATATAAATTTCTTTTCAAACGCGCACATCTTGTTATGCGATGGAGCAACGAGCACGATAACATATATCACGGGGGGGGGAATAATTTTCACGGGAGTTTGGCTTCTTCCATACATGAGGCAAATCTTAGGGGCTAGCCTTCCTGGTTTTATCAGAGTTCACTGGATAGGTATGACATATTTGTGGGTCTTTTGAGTTTTTATTTAAAGTTACTAGTAGATAATTGTCGGATAACAAGTTAGAAACCAAACCTGCAGAACTAAACTGATGTTCTTAGGCTCCTGGTACAATAGCGAAAATAAAATTCGTACTAAACTAGAAATACATGCATGCAGCAACCCCTCGCCATTTAAAACGAAGCAAAATATTTCGTGCGCTACCCAGTCCCAGACCTAACTTTCTACTCTAGTATTATGAAATAAGTCAAATAACTCGTGCAAATTTTTCGGAAACAAAGACAGTCGTAAACGTGAACAGAAATCACCTGTTTGTCTGCCATTACGTTGCAGTTTAAGTGAGTTTTAAACTTTTCTATAGCTAAACCTTCAAAACATCAAAACAGCACAAATAATTATTATAACCATACAAGCACTAAACGTCGAATGTTGTTTTTCGATTATTTATTTTATTCAATAATTTTAGCGACTATATAAGCTGCAAAGTGATATATTTGTTTTATGAAAACTCTGAAGTACACTTTTCAGAACTCTTTTTAAAGTTTAAGCGATGATGTAAAGCCTTAAACGGTCAGTTAGCTCCTTGTAAAACGACATACCAAGCTCGTATTTGTCAAAAAAAACAATGCATTCTTACAGCAAACACTGAATAAGCAAAATATAGACACCTACCACTTTAAAGATTATAATCTACGAGTCGTTCCTATTTCACCAACTGTTTCTGTGCTGTGATGATCTTTAAATCTTTTATTATTGTTTTTATATTTGACTCCATGATTTCATATTATATTTTTAAAAAATAGTTTGCAAAATGACGGTTAAAATGCTGACGCTATCATGCATGCTCTCTTTTTGTCTTAGCCAATCAGCAAGTCGTAGACGACCGTTCTTTCTTCGTTCAAATTTCGCGCATGCGCATAACTACCATGACCATTGAACGTCCATGACACAGAGCATACAGAGGTTTGACTGCCGTTAATTTTGCGTACCCCTGGCTTAGCCAGTGCGCTCAAGAGAGGCCTTCTCCCCCCGGGAAAGCATGCATATGGCTTGAACACATGTATGGAATATAAACAGCCAAGACAGAACTATCTGGAAAAATCGTATTTTTCACAAAAACGTTGCTCAATTTTTTTCTCAAAACCAGATTTTTTTAGTTCTTATCCTTTAGAAAAGTATAGAAGTGTGAGCGATCTGTTTATTTATATAGCGATGGCTATTTATAATGTTCGGGGGGGATAGGGCCTCTCTTATAGGAGCGCACTGGCTAACAACATGGCCGCTAGGAACGCATAATTAATGCAAGGTCAAACCTCTGTATGCTCTGTGTCCATGACATTTGGGCAACTTTGGATTCCGCTATGTTCTCCCGGGTCCCGGGTGTAATTCCTAATCTCCGGGCGGAATTAGTACCCTCGCACGGCGCTCCGCGCCGGCTCGGGGATTAGCATCTTACCAGGTAAATCTACACTATAATTATTGTATCTGTGAAAGGGTTGACGGATGGATAGGAGTTTTAGAATAAACGAAACCTCCCGTTTCTAATGTGACCTTCCATCCGGTTGTAGTTTGAAAAGACAGCGTTTTATTACTGACTGGCTAACTATACAACTGTGAAAAAGTAATCTTTATAAGACAAGAAATTTCGAGTTTGCGGACGATTACCATAATCACCAGAAATTGGGCACAAAATTGCTGTCTGCGCTAATTTGCATTTAATCCATACATATATAATGATTGTGAAATTTCACATGTGACGTGAGCAGGCTGTCAAACAACGAAAATTTGATATATGACTTTGTAGAAGGTTTATATAATTGATTTTTGTCGTTAGATCTAGGTTAGATTTACGTCAGATCGAATATATGTAAAATTCAATGAATCAAAACAAGTGAACAGAGCATTGGTGAAACTTTGCGACTTACTTCAAGTAGGCTTCAAGCCATGACCCCCAAGTGCCATGACGGATAATTTGTTTTACACCAAAACTTTCGTTGACACCAATATAGCTGCTCACGATCTCCTCATCCCTAATTAAAATGTTCTGATCGCGAACTCCTGGAAGGTCTGACGGCTCTTATTCTCCAAGTCACCGTAAAAAAGTCAAACCAAGCTTTCCTTCGTATTTTACCCCGGGCGGTGTATTATATTTCACCTAATTATATAGAATTCAAAGAAATATTCTTGCACCATTAATGTCATATACATGAAGGCCTAATTTTAATCAATATCTTTGCTTATCCGCGATATAATATTTTAACACTCCTTGTTTTCTATAACATATATATACATATATTGCAACGCATAAGCGTAGGTTCGATTCATGACCGATAGTTGACTAATTCTTCTCAACTGATCCCCTCTTAAATTGAGTTGGGTATGTTTCCACTCGAAATTAAGCCCCTTAAAAAAACGTCAGAGTTTACTGGAGTTGACACATGTGTTTTTGGAGAATAAGCATTGTAGCTATTTTAGCATTTTATTTTCAATTTTTACGGTTTGCTTATATTTTTGAACGACTGATATTATTTTCTATCCAGGGTTAATAATTTTCGAATAATTTTCTATCCATGCAGTGGTGCGTTGAGCGTGAGTGCATGAGGCTATTGTATCACTTAAAAGCCAAATTTTGCGACAAACTCCCGACAGATTTTATAGGATTCTACTAGAAATACATGCATGCAGCAACCCCTCGCCATTTCAAACGAAGCAAAATATTTCCTGAGCTAGCCAGACCTAACGTTCAATATTATGAAATGTCCTAAATGTAAAGCCGATAGCTGATGTTTCAAATATTTCGAAAACAAACACAGTCGTAAAGGTGAAGTGAAATCACCCGTTTTCCTGCTGCTTTCCGTTGCATTAAGTTATAGACCCTCACAGTTTAAGTGAGAGTTATGCTTCATTATAGCTAAACCTTCAAAACATCAAAACAGCCCAAATAATATAAATAACCAAGCAGTGAACGTCGAATGTTGTTTTTCGATTATTAAATTCGTGCAGTGATTGCAGTCGACTATATATAAACCTTTAAAGTGATATTTGTTATATTAAAACTCCGAATCACACTTTTAAGGACTCTTTTGGAAGATAAAACGATGATGTAAAGCCTTAAATAGTCGGTCACGTCTTCGCAAAACCGAGCAAAACGACATACTGTACAAAGGTCATAAAATGTATTCGTACAGCAAACACGAAATAAACCTCGAAATAAACAAAATAGACTCCTACCATTTCAAGGATTATAATCGAGTTGTTCCTTTTCACCGCTAATTCCTCCAGTTCTGATAATATTTTAAACTCTTCCCAGTGTTTTATCTGTTTTTTGATTCCACATTTCATATTTTGCTTTCGAAACATTTTTTTGAAAAATAGTTTGCAAAATGACAGTTAAATTGCTGACGTTTTTCACTGAAACACGAACGTTTCGTCTTAGCCAATCAGGAAGTTGCTGATTACCATGCAGTCTACACTCATTCGCATTTCGAGCATGCGCACAAGTACCATGACCATTGAACGTCCATGACATTTGGGCAACTTTGGATTCCGCTATGTTCTCCCGGGTCCCGGGTGTAATTCCTAATCTCCGGGCGGAATTAGTACCCTCGCACGGTGCTCCGCACCAGCTCGGGGATAAATTTTAAATTTGATTTTTTTTCTATTAGAATTCAACCTGGATCAAATGAGGATATATTCGCGTATACGGGAAATGAAGCCGAAGAAAAGGATATGTATGAAAAATGCCTAAATGAGCAAATATGTGTTTGCAGACATGGAGCCAATGTGGGTTGTGATAACCCGGCAACAGTTAATGAGTGTTCTCCACCGGAACAGAATTCGGCGATTCAAAACCTACATGGAGGTAAGAAAAATAATGAACCAGAGTATCTTGAAAACAAAATGTCAGGTGATTTTCCAATTGCCGCGTCCCATCAGAAGAAATGTCATTTTTAGCATATTTGATTTATGGTAAGCACGTATAGGATGTGGTACTACTTATAACTACAAGAAGCGGTTGCTAAATGCAAATCCGCTATAGTACTGTCAACGATCGTTAATCATGAAGCATTTTTATACCTACCATGATCACTGGAATAAAAGAAATTGGGCCGTAATTATTCAATTCGTCCCTTCCACTTTGTTTGAAAACTGGAGTAACTTTGGCACATATCCAATCTTCTGGAAATATACCAATTGTTAGAGAAGCAATAAATATGTTAGTAATAGAATTTGGGATAAGATTGGCACATTCTCGAATTAAAATGGCTGATAACTTGTCAAGACCAGTTGCCTTTGATATGGGTAATTATGTGAATTGCTTGTCAAAATAAATTGAAACCTTTTATCAATATCACTAAGATATTCAGTAAAATTTGCATTGCTATTTTTCGATTTATCTCGTTTCCGAGTTTCGGACCAATTGTTAAAAATGCTTATTAAATAGATTAGACAAATCAGATGGACTAGTCATTGAAATATCATCTGATTTAATTTCCCAAATCTCTGTTTTGTGTTGTTTACGGCTGGTAAGGTCATTGACAGTCTGCTAAATCTTTCGAGAGTTGCCACTGTGTTGGATAAATGCAATTTTTTAATAAGATACTTTAGCTAGCTTAATTTTTTGGTAGAGTGCTACAACCCTCCCAGACAAGGATAGGTAACCCCCCCCCGGGATGGGAGGTCATGTGACATTGTGAAGCGAGGGAAGAAAACTTGTTATTTTAAAATCACGAATTATTCATAAAAAATATACTAAAAATGACATTGAGTTGTGAGAATTTTGGCTTGAAACAATAGTTCGGGTCAATTTCACTGTTGACAGTATTACGTATTCTCCTAAAATCTGTCCAATCATAGGAATTATTAGAGCGTACTGCTTTAATTTTTTGCAATATTTGTTCATGCATACGTTTCTTAAGTTCAGATGTTATCCATGGGGAACTTTTCAATCGAACACGTTTAGATCATATTGGAGCAATGTTTGGTAGCTATTGATAAAAATCCCTGTTTCCACTCGGTCCATATATTATTTGGGTCTTGTGTGTTGGTCAGGTTATTCCAATTTTGTGACAGAACTGATATCATAACGAAAATTATCTCGATTAAAGATTTTAAAGCTCCTGAAGGTTATATTTTTAAAATTTTTAGTTATTGTACCTATTGATAATTTACGATATACATAGACTAAGCTATGATCACTGATACTATATACAATGTCCGGAACAGACTACCCGTTCAAGATAGTTTGTACAGATTAAATCAATCAAGGTCGAGGTTGAATTCGTATCACGAGTAGGTTCATTTATAAGTTGTTGGAGGCGGATTGTCGACCAAATCACAATTGACCATAACAAAAAAGATGGCGGATGTACATTTTACCATGTGCATTGCGGTCGGAAATCGTTTAAAAAAGCAAACTAACGTCTTTTAAAGGACAGGCATAAAACAGGAAGTTATTTTCTTCGCTGTGTTAAAATTTCACATCATTAGGATTTTTTCTTGCCATCTTTTTTCAGTCAATCATTCTTAATGCCCGCAATGCATTCTGTTAAAATGATAAGATTTTCAAAAGAAGTAAATAATTCACAGCCTAGTACAGGAGAGTTTGGTGGCCTATACTAGTTGACAACAACAAATAGTTTTGATTGAGGTTTGTGAACTTCAATGCACAAGTTTTCAAGATTTTCCTTCTTAAGGTCACTGCATGCTATAAAGTTAATTGAATTTCTGATATAAAAACACCTCCGCCATTTCTGTTTCTATATCTCTGCGGACTATTTCATAACCAGGTATATAAACCTCACAATCTTGAATTGAGTTGTCGAGTTTCATTAATTGAAAGAATGTCTACTGGACTATCGGCAAGCAGAATTCTAAGTTCGTCTGTATGTTTCATTAAAGTAGCTATATTTAATAAAGCTATTTTAGCTATTTAAGCAGGAAAAATCGATGTCGATATGGTGAATTGTTACAGTTTTCAGATTGTTGCGAATTCAAACAAAAGCGGTCATTTGTTACAGTAGTATTGTTTAATCTAGTTTCAGCAACTGCTACAACATTAGGTTTTGTTGAAAACGAGTACATCATATCGTTCAACAAATCGAAATTTTTTGGAAGACTTCTTATATTGCAATGAAGTAGAGAAAGTGACTTGGGACCTTTCATCTTAAAGATTCTATTAACTTTTTCACTCTGATAATAATTAGAGCCAATAGCGTAGCCAGGCTAACGATTTTTCACGGTATGCTAATATTTTGGTGTTCATTGACTGTGAAAACAATAAATTTCTAAAGAAATGAATAAGTATGATAACACGAATTTTACAAAGCGGGACAAAATCGTCAGGCTATCTACGCCAGTGACCAGGGCATATACTATTAAACATATGGTCCGGATCACTTTCAACTAATTTATCTGGGTTTGGTAACAATTTATATAAATCAATATTAGGATTTACACATCTATAATTATAATCAATACTGAATAAAAAATTATATTCCCTATCATTTAAATTATAAAAATTAATTCAGCAATGTAAACACAGAATTCTTACCCGACCAATCTCCATTACAAATTCATTCGGCTTATCATCTGACAGCATTGGTATCACGACGTATACAATACTTTCCAGAAATAACCTAACAAAAACCGCGCTTAACCTAGGTCAAACCTCAGTCTGATCGCTGTTGAATCGAGGTCAGACCAAGGTCGAACCGCGGTGAGACGGAGGTTAAACCTCGGCGTTACTCGGTCTGTCAGACATTTCTTAAGATTTTTTCGATTTGGAACATTTCGTTCAAAAGCAAACAGCCGCTGCAAAGGTATTTTTTTCCATTGCGGTTGTCTCCGGTTTCTATCGGTCGACCGCAACCGAAACGCAACCTAACCGCAACCGCAGAGTTAGGTTGGAAATTTCGTTTTTTTCTTTATCAATCTTAACTTTGAACTAAATTTAGCAGCCTTGGGCGGCATTATTTATGGAACACTAAAATGCACGTCCGTCTCGTCTGAAAAGTACAATCAATGTCCGGTTCATCAAAAAATTTTCTTTTCACATGTATTCTTAGATATATGCCGCGGCGGACGCACAACTAGGAATGATGACACTCGCAAAAGAGCGATTGATATGCGAGATGATGACATAGACGATCAAGATATTATTCCGCTGTACAACCCGCCTAAACGTAATTTCACAGTTCCCTCGTGGCCGACACCTAGCGGATTGACAGAGAAGAACGTAACATCGTTATGCAACAAAAGAATAAGGTATTCGAAAGCCGGAGAAAGCTGTAGTAATGTCGATGGTGTTAATTTGGATGCCCTTGTCAATCAGTGCATTACTGATATCCAGGTATGTAAAAGACCCATCCAAATTCAAATTTGAGCACCTAAAATGTTACCTTTGCGCATCAGAAAATTGCTAATCAGTTCTCCAAATAGTAAATAATGGAGACGTGGCGCATTTTGTAACCAACTAAAATAATAAGCAATTATTGGAAGAAGGCTGAGCATAGTATCAAGAATTATTCAGACCAAGACATTCAGACATTATACATTTCGAGGTTATACATTTCATCGATCAAAAACGTATGTATAAAAGGATTAAACGAATTTTATCGTATATCGAGACAACCAAATCTGCTGTAATCCATTTTGTTTATTCCATTTTCGCGCTCTACTGCGTTCGAATTTCATGTTCTCCAAAGTCTGGGCACGAGAGAGTCCAATAAGTGTTTTTTAAGAAGAAAGTTCGATCTAAAAAAGATTATTATGGGCGCTAAGCACGTCAGCAGCTGACGTTACGTAAAAAGCACAGTATATTGAGAATTAACGGGTGCTTTCTGACCAATCAGTATATAACGACAATACACACGAAATGGATAATAATATAGATTAATGATAGCGCTAATGGTTGGGTAATTGCCTTCCTCTCGTGCTATATGAATATTAATTTCCTTAATACTTGGGTAATTAACGTTATAATAAAAATATCGAGATTATCATTAACGGCAACACTGTTATTTTAAAGTGTTATTTTACAACACTGTTAACGGATTCTAGGGATGTAATAGGGGTGTTACAAAATTTCAGGTGTAATAATTAGTTGGATTTAAGTTAACATTATTCGAGGAGTTGACGAATTGGCAATTAACGTAATCAGCATTAACACTATTGACAAACCTAATTTCATTAACTCCACTTAGCAGTGTTCCACCATTAAGCAGTGTGCCACCAATGCAATGAGAATTTGTAATTGAAATGAATTATAATATTTGTACAAAACCTTTTTATTGAGTTATATTATAAAAGAAATAGAAAACATTTTTACCTGTGTTTCTATACAGTTTCAGTATACACCCGACTATTGTCTATTACAAATCCTACATTCTGATTGGCTACTCAACCATTGTCTATTCGTGATGGTGAACGTTTGGGAAAAATTCGCTCGTGCGACCGTATAAAATTGAATTAATTAAATTATTTCATATATCTAGGTACAGGGTGTATACTAAAACAATTAGACAACTCGCCTTCGTTGTCTATGAGCGAATAGCCAACTCAGGCTTCGCCTTCGTTGACTATTAATCGTTGACTATTCGCTCATAGACAACTCGGACTCGTTGTCTAATTGTTAAATAGAAACACGTGTGGGAGTTTGGGAGAACTCGAATAACGTGGAAAAACTCGCCCTACGAGCTCGTTTCCCCAAACTCCCACGCGTGTTTTTATAACTGTATAGAAACACGCAAAATGTTTTTCTTAAATAATTACAAAAGGTAGGACGTTTTTTTACCACTTAGACTATGACAAAATACCTCAATTATATTGACTAAAACCAATAAAAAAAGTGTAGTAAACTAATCTCTGATAATTTTCCTAACTTCTTACAAACGAGTTTAAATGAAAAATGCTTAACTCTCAGTAAAACGACACTCAGTAGCTATCACGTTTACCATGCATATAAGGAACATAGACATTTTATATATAGTTACATTTCGCGGGCCCTGGATTTGTTGCGATATAACCACTCAGTAGGATGAGCAGCAGTAAGTTCCAGTTCTTATAACGTTTGATAGGCATATAGAACTTTCTCTGTATCACATCGTGGCTAGAGATCCAGATGCAGCAATGCCTCTCCGACATAATCGTAAGTTCAGGACTGATGAGAACGTTTCCAAGAAGATTACTTCCAGATGTCGACAGTTTCCATCTATTTTTATTCCCATTATATGACCAACAATTAGTATAGCTTTTGACCCTTTTCGCACGCGGCCATTTTGAAACGTCTCAGACTCTCAGTTGCTATGGTAATGGAACCCCAGGCACATGTATAGATTTCCGCTCTATAGATACCGTATGTTTGCTGCAAAGTATATCAACTTTCAGTAGCCTTCTAGAGAAACATTTAGATGCTTAATATCCCTGTTTAATATTCATTTTTTGCAAACTTACGATCTTATTGGTCGATTTGTACCATATTAGTGAATTTTATAAAGCAACAACGCCACGGCAGTGCCGTAATAGAATTTGTTACACATTGGCGGCAATTAATACGGCCGTAATAGAATTTGTTACAAAATGGCGGCAATTAATACAGAAAAAAATAAAACAATTTCCGAGCTTAGCGACCGACACAATCGAAAAAATTATAGATGAATCCGCACCTAAAAATACGAAACGAGCAACTGTATGAGCTGTTTCCGCATTTTAAAGGTAAGTTAAGTTTCGCGCTTGCGCATAACTAACAAAACCACGCAAAAATTTGGACAACTTTGGATTCCGTTATGTTCTGTCACAATACCCGGGTGGTGTAATTCCTAATCTCCGGACGGAATTAGTACCCTCCCACTGCGCTCTGCACTGGCTCGGGGAATATTGCCGTATTTAATCTGAGACTATGTCGACACGGTAAAGTTTTCGAGCGTTTTCATTTCCGTTTTCATGCCTAAACAGTTTCAAACACCGTCAGTTTAAAATAGAAGTTGAAGCTAATTTATAGTATAAAGCATATATCCCCTTGGATCGTGCGGACATGGCGTCTAAACATTAAACAATATAGTAGACAAAAACGATTTTGACGCTGAAAACGACGCCCGTGTGCACATAGCCAAAATTATTTTCTAATAAGTTAAGAAATTATCACATATTAGTTTAGAATACCTTTTATTGGTACTAGTAATTATAATTCAGGTATTTTGTATTGAGTTATTATAAAAGAGCTTCTAACCCTGCTATTTTATAAATGTAGAGTAAGTATATAATTATAATTACACCATGTTGACAGATTGTTGAAAAATTTCTCGCGTTCAAATTATTTACGCATATATTTGGGCTTCGTATGCTTTTATCTGCAAAATTTTACCCAGAAAATACAGGAAAACGCATCTGTGACACTCATTGTAAGTTGACCAGCTTGCAAATACAATCTTTATTATTTTTTACACAGTTTACCGACGATCCATCATGGGCTGTTGCAAATGCTGGAGCTTTGAACAATGTGTGCAAGAAAAATGTTTATAAGAACGTATCTTACTATAAGAACAGCACAGATGGCGTGTTAAAACTGGAGACGAATGTTCTAGATTCACTTTGTCCAAATGATTGCTCGGACCGTGGAAATTGTTCAAACTCAACATGCACTTGTTTTGAAGACTACACGGCTGCTGATTGCTCAGTATCGTTGAAAGATAGTCCCAAACTATATGGCATACGTAAATCAGGATTATGTGATGTAAGAAGAAGGCCGTGTCGCAACGTTGGTATTTATGCTTTTCCATTGTTGGATTCTGCGAATCTTACCTGCCATGTTCAAGAAATTAAGGTAGGATAGTTAAGAAGTCGGTGTACTATATAATAGGTCATAATTGTATAAGATGAGCATCTAAAATATGCGTTTTCCTTAAATCTGTCGCGGTATTTTTTCTTAATATCAAAGCACCAAAAGTTTTCTCGCCATTTCAGTTTTTACAGCCGCGATTGTTTCTGTAGCAAGTGCGCTGCGCGAATTAATTGAGATTAATTTCAATATTTACTTTCACAAGCAATGTGCAAGGATGCAAACATCCTTCCTCTCTTCAAGGCATGCATGAAAAAGATTTATTTATTTTGACAAATAAATATGGAAATTAACTGTAACACTAAAACGAGGGTATAGGCAGGACCTGGAGACTCGTTCTCGCTTATTTTTGCATTTTATTTGTGAAAATAAAAAATGTTTTTCATTCATGTGTTGAAGAATAATGTTTCGCAGCCTCACACACAACTTGTCAGAGTAAAATGACTTGGTAGGATGATGTTATAGTTTATTCACTGATATTCACGAGACATCCACTGATTTTGTTTAATTAGAGGAAGCAAATTTCTGAGTATCATCGGCATAAAAACTGGGAGTTGCCATGCAAAACCTATTTCATAAGTCGTTTATATCAAGTAAAAATATTTTTCACGGCCTCTCGATGACATGAAAGCAGCGGAAACGTTATGGTTGTTTGATAGCTTATATGAAACTGTAATATCAGCTAGACATCGGAGGTTCTAGCACAATTGAAACCTTTGTATGATTGTATACATGCTATGTATACATGCGATGTACACTGTTAATATACGATGCCTCTCATGCATTTATTTCAGCTTGTTTGGTGGTACATTCTCGTCTATTGAGGACCGCAGCTATTGCAAACTGTAGTTTGATTTACTTTTCAATCGAACAGGTTGTTCCCGAGCAACAAATACAAATTCTTCCAATCAATGTTCAATAATACGAGTAATTTAGTTCGATATATTATTAATTATGTTAATGTTATTTTCGCAGGTTATTGAATCAGTATGGGTCCCAGATAGATCTATCTCGTTGTTTCCTGGATTGATGATGGATATAACTGAAGTTAAATGTTTTCTTCCCGAATCACCTGTAAATATCGGTGACTATGGTAACGAAGGAGTGGCAGCCGCTGGAATAAAAATTGCAGTATCCAATAATCGGATAAACGCCTCAAAAGAGTCCTTGTTGTTCATTACGTATGATTCCGTGTGCCAAGAATGCAATGTTTCCACAGGATGTCAACTTAAGGTAAAGCACTTTTTGTGTCATTACAATTTACGTGAAATCTGCGACATGATATTGTAATTTTAATTTCACCCACTATGCACAATTACTCCGGCGTCAGCGACGGACTTGAAAATTCGCCTCGACTTGAAAATTCAACTTGTTTTTAGTTCCGCGGTTTTTTATCATTATTTTTAGGCGCGAGATATACTAGTATTTGAAGAGTGTATGTGACCGTATTTATGTACGCCACAGTTTTGTCTCCCAAGAGTTGTGGTGCACAGCTCGAAATCTTTCACTAATTTTCTGATGCGCGTTTCGATTTCGCTCGCATAATAATTTCTCCAAGAGGAACAAATAAACCGTTCTTTTGATGCTGTTTGATTAAGTTTAGATTTCATTGGGGTCAGAATATATTCAATACATGTAGATTCTGGTCCTATTTTAATATTATTGCTGCTATTTCGCCGTTTAACAAGATGTGGTCGTGTATGGGCGCCTTGACACGTCACAGTGTGCACAGGATTGCGGATTTAATGTAAGCGCGCGAATTCCAAAGTGTAAGACAAAGTGAACGTATCATGCGGTTTATTTACATTTTTGATCAATACTTTTAATTTTTGAAAAGTACGATGTGCTTCGAACAACATTTAGGTTCGCAAGGCATCTAGATGAGTATGAACAGTATTTTTCATGTTTAGAAGCTTTATATAGAAGACTGGCACGTGCGCGGCACGCCGAAGTTAACGCCGGAGTTAACGCCAGAACAGGCGTCTTGTTATCTTCAACTTGTTGCTCAGTTTTTTAAGTTGAACTATCACTCGTAAGATAAATATTAAAGCTCATAATACTGCTTTTAGTAAAGCCGTAAATGGTGATTTCGACAGTTTAAGAAGTATATAAATATATTTGCATGATAGTGACGTTTCGTCTTAACTTAAGAGGATCTTCGGGCTAAGTGATTATAATGAATTACATGTGATATTTGATGGGGGTTTTGAATTCAAAGTCAAAGGTAGCCGAGTGTCTGGAAGCTTTTATCGGGGAATGGATACTGGACATATAACGGGGCTGGAGGTCTCTTTTCCAGTGATTGCTGTTTTTCCCAAGTGTTCTAATATTCTGGTACGTAGATGACGCGTGGCCTTGTTGTGGAACGGAAGACCAATCTAACATCCAAATGCGGAAAAGCGGTACTACAAAGACGCTTGAAATGACTTGCAAATGTGAACAGAATGTAACCCAGTAAAGGGAAGATTTTCCGCACAGATGTAAGAATCGTCTTCTTTTCCACAACAATTAAGGATCCCCTCTCTCTTTCATTTCAAACATAAGGTTCTTAAGTATTTTGGATCTGGTGTAGTTTACTTATTCTATTTATATTACCAAACTCAAGCCATCTCCCAATGTTCAAGGCAACTCTATTCCTCTTAGTTTATTCTAGTCCCTTGTTTCATACCTTTGTGTTGTGACGTTCTACTGTCCCTTGTCCTCTCATGCACTGTTTTGCCCTAGCTTTGTCCTTTAGTCTTTGTAAATTGATACATTAATAATTATAAATAATTATATTAGTAATATTACTAGTATACATATCCAAATTTCGAATGTAATTAATCACTTAGTCTGAAGATCATTTAAGTGAAAACGAAACGTCACTACCGAAATAATTTTTATACTTTTTAAATTGTCGAAATGGCTTCTAGCAACAGTATTAATATTGAACTAAGTTAACAAAATTTTACAAAAGGAGTCATTTTATTTTTTTTTTACAATTTCAAAGATTAACGGCAAAGGTTTTTGAAATCAGCGAAAATGGGAAGCTGATAACTGATACGTCACAATAGGAACTTGTATATTGCACCAATAGATAAATTAATAGTATGTAGTAAAGAAAAGCGATCAGCCAGCACTGTGACGTGAAAAACGCAACGATCTAAAGCATCCAGTTTTTATTATAATATCCTATACAACCGCATTTTTTAGCTGTGTTTGTGCACACTCAAATCTTATAAGACGCTATTCAACAAACTTTCATTTGTTAACTCAAACACTCCTTTCGTGTTAAGAACACAATGACTCAATTGGTCACGACTCATGGAATACTTACAATTTTTGCAGGACTGCTGCAGTGTCTTGCAAGGAACGGCTTGCGCTTTAGAGTAATTTTTGATAGGAGTGAGAAGAAGAAAATAAACCATGACAACTACAAAAGGCGTATACTTAAATTATCTTATAATTTTATAAAATACGATAAATATAGCATTGCGAACTTAGCATATTTTGTGTACAGTATACTTTTGTATTACGTTCAGCAATGTGTAATTACACACTTTCGGCCGTAATACAAAAGTATACAAAATTCGTCAACTTTGCATAACACAGCGAAATTACGCTGGGTACGAGGTTGCTTCGCATGGTTCTATTTTATGCGATTTACTCAGTCAAACTTGGCAGTTATACTAATTTTTTTAAGCTCTTTCAGAAAAAATCCTTTTAATCGTCGCCAGTAGCGTAGCCAGCCTGTCGATTTATTTTCGTGTTCACCGACTGTGAAAACAATAGATTTCTAAAAACATGAATAATTCTAATAACTCGAAATTTACATAGCGGGACAAAATCGTCAGGCTGGCTACGTTACTGATCGTCTCTGTAAGAAATTGATCTAAAGCGGAAGTCGTCCATTATTATAGACACTTCCCAACATATCCTGATAATGTATTCGTGATCTTATACAAAATTATCTTCTGTTTAAATATTATCTGTTGCGCTGTTTGCTCCTACTTGCAAAAGAGTTACTAAGTTGTCGCGTCGGAGCAGTTCCTGTTTTAACGTCAAACACATAGTTTCGCGCCAGCTGTTTTCAGAGTTTTCATTCCACTAAATTCAATGTTTAGATGGCAATACCTCGATTAGTTTTAATTCAGAACTCACGAACTCGCTACAAACAAGATTTTAAATATTTAAGTTCCCATTTTATGATATGGGCGCTTGAAAAAAGTGTGGAAAAAACTGTTTTTCCTACTTGTTTTCATTTCGTTTATCCAATGCGAAACCATCAGCTTATTGCAACCAGATCAATTACAGTGAGATTTAAATATCTTGTAATAAATAATATTATAATAATATTTTTTTTAACTAAAAGGCTGATGCTTGTTCAATTTCTGGTCATTGTTTCGCCAAAAGCGAGAGCCATCCTGACGACTGGTGTCGACAATGTTTGCCTTACATTTCAACTTCGTCATGGGAAAACCGAACAGGTATGTAAAAACATAAAAATGCATAAAGGTGATCCTGTAATTTTAATAAAGTGAAGTCGTTATTTGAATTATTCTTTTAAAAGAAAGAGGAAAAAATATACCTAATATATCGAAACTATATCTCCGGGGAACAATAGACGTTTTCAAGCATTGTGTTTAGCAAAACACTCTAAAGATAGTTACCATGAATAACACACAAATGTGTGCTTAAAAATACGACGTGTATGTTATATAGCCCACAAGGAGTGCTGCGAAAAAAGAGAAGCACATTTTGAAGCACATCTTAAGCTGGGGCCGGTTGTTCAAAAGCAGGTTAAATTTAACTTTGGATTAGTGCTAAACCTGGGTTAAAATCCTTTACCCTAGGTTAGCTAAACCTGGGTTAAAACTGTGTTGTTCAAAGCAGGGTTAGCGGTAGGGTTAGTTAACCCAGGGTTAAAATATTTCACCTAAGATAAAAAGTATTTTAAGGACTAAATTGGATATAAGAACGTTTTTGATTGGTCAATAAACGAGCGTCAAAACTTTACCCGACCAGGATATATTGTCAGTCGAAAGATTATATGCCGTGAGGGCAGGGTCGAAGGAACGTTGTTTGAACAGCAATTTCCGTGCATGGAATTTTGGAAAGATTCGAAATGAAAGACCATTTTGTATGATAAACAATGTCGATGTGAAATAAAATCGAGCAAATTATAAATAATCTATTTTAAAATTTCAGGCATTCTTTGATTATTCAAAATTCAAGAACAAACGTAGCCTTACCACTTGCTGCCAATCAAAAGAATCGAATTTTGGCATCCGAAACAAATATTTCGATTACGATGTTTCAATTTGTACGGTTGTATTCATTTATCATGTATTGCATTGAAGCGAAGATAAATAAATCAATACATCAGCTGAAACCGAACGAAGTCAAACTTAAATAATTCTTTGCTGTCGAAATTTTTCGTAAAACTTTTCAAAAGTGTTTAATTCATGACGAGTTATACGTGTTTACGTGTTTCAGCTGCTTATTCATCCATTTTGAATCGAAGTTAACCCAGGAGTAAAAAGTTAACCCACCTAGCTAGCAGGATTAATTTTTTTATCAATTTTAACCCAGGGTTAACGCTAACCGAGCTTTGTGCAACGCAAATCAACCAAGGTTTAAAATTTAACCCTGGGTTAGGCATTTTTAACCCTGGGTTAGCGTTAACCGGCTTTTGAACAACCGGCCCCTGCTGTTTAACACACCATTATAGTGTGTTACTCAAAAATGAATAATATTTTACTAACTTTACAAGTGTATTCAGTATTTTACTGATTAAAATGTGCAGATTGCCGAATATTTTCCTGTCATCACTTTTCAAAGCGTGCCGATTTTGTAGGCTGGAAGGTGTGCTATTTAGAACAACTTTAAAGGGTGTTTTCTAGCAAACTGTATCAAGAAACACACAGAGTGTGTGCTAACAAACACACCTTTTCATGTAACATCTATATTGTTTGCTTCAAAATGTCTATTTAGTGCATCTATTTAGTGTATTTTTCTACGGTAACCCACAATTTGAGCGATATATAAAAACAGCTAATTAACAGGATGTATGAATTTGTTTCTTAAAGGACAAGGACAACAAATATTTTTATGCCCAATTGGAAAGAGCTTTGGAAATTATCACTAAAATCTTGTTACTGAATTACCATAATTACGTTTTTTGCTTTTGTAATTTTTTTTATTCAAAGCAACGTCATCCATCTAGGATTAATCCTTAACTCATCAGCTTTCATTGTGAAGACATGATGTGTGGGTTTGTCTTATAAGATTTATTCTAATTAAATTGCCGAGAAAGAGTAAAATATTATTCAAAATCTCGCTATTTTTTTAAATTGCAACGATGCAGAAGCAAATTTAAGGCGCATATTCATAACTACTGATACCTAACGTCATCATGCATATCCTCAATTGTCCGAAATGGCGGACGAGTTATTTGTTTCGATCAAACTGAAAGACGAAATATTGTGTATTTAAGATTAGCTTCTGTTGCTCGAAATCTTACTTCTGCCTCACTGCGTTCACAGACTGCGTTCACAGAGAGTTAGTGCATGCTTTAACTCTTTCAAAATAATTACCAGCAACTAGAGCTAATATTCTTTGTAGGGGACAACATATTTGACCATCTATTGTAAGTTCCGTAGAATATGCTTGCGAATTTCGATAAACTTTTATAACTTTGCATTTAAACGGTTATCATGCGGCTTGCGCTTTATTTTTTGAAAATTTCAAAAACAATTTTGACCATCGCTTGTATAATTTCCTTTTAGAAAACCAGAGTCCAAAGTTTAATATTTTAAAAACCTTTTACGCTTTTCTTGGTAAAGAACTCCGCGTACAACTCGATGCTATAGATCCAGAGAATAGAACAATCCGTTATTCTTTTACCTTGCAAAATACTTCACTTGGCGCATCGTTGACAGAAAATGGATTTTTTTCGTGGACAACCACAACGAACAACTCAGAAGTATTTATGTTCAAAGTAACAGATGAATGTGGTGCGTACTCATCTGTTAATGCATCAGTTGCTATAAAAGATTGTCCTTGCAAAAACAAAGGAGAGTGTTTTCCTGACTATCGTTATCTTGATGGAGCAGGAAACTTCAAGTGTTCATGCCCTGTTGAGTATACTGGCGTACTGTGCGAGAATGATGTCAATGAATGCAACGTGTCTCAACCTTGTTTCAATGGAACTTGCAGCAATAAAATACCTGGGTTCTCTTGTTCCTGCTTTGCTGGGTATACTGGTCGTTTTTGTGAAAATGAGGTTGTAATTTTTATTACAATTGCCTATTTTTAAACATAACTACTTTTATTATGAACGGCCATCACCACAGAAATGAATCGTATGTAGAATTACCGGTTTTCCCCTTCAAAATACATTAGGACATTCTGATTTGCTAATATCTGATTTTGTGTGTGTAGTCACAATTGCATCTCGCTAACCCTATAGTCTATAGATCAATCAGTAACTGAAAAATTATACAACCTTTTCACTCCTTTTACAAAAGTATCTATGCCAAAGATAGGGGCTGAACGTTTTTCGCAAGCAGAGTAGACATTTGCTATTCCGAAAATGCACTATAATGTCTATTCTGTGCTATTAGTATGACAAGATTGGCAAGTATTACCAATAAAATATGTTGCAACGTTTGCTATAAGGCCTAAATATCTTCCAAATTCCTAATAAAAATAATAAAAAAATTACATCGTTTTTAACGCCAGTAGTTTGATTACATTCTCCCGACGTTTAACTTCAACGTTAATTTTCAGGATCCCTTTAGCATCCTAGCGTTAGCCATAGCCTCTATCCATTCAAACTGTTCTAATCAAATCTTCAAGGGCAATTGTAAAACAATCTTGGCCCTTAGCGCAATCTGCCTCTTGCACGAATACCGGTTTACCATTTGATCTTTGTATTTAAAAGCTTCATAAATAATCATCCTTTCAATGTTTTTTATTCTTTTTAAGATCGACGAATGTGCCTATCAACCTTGTTTTCCTGGAGTTCTATGTACAGATTTAATTGCCTCATTTAGTTGTGGGCCTTGTCCGAAGGGATATACTGGTAATGGAGAAAACTGTACCAGAATTGATGGAAGTAAGTATAATGTGCATCTATTTATTCATCATGAGAATATCGTGATAGATATGAACCGTATGATAGCTATGAGTAAATATTTCCACTTCCTTTTTTCTTTTATTTCTAAAATTATAAAAATCTTCTCATGACATATTGCAACGTGAAAGCCAAATTGCTCTGAGTCAAAAAAGACTTGTAGGAATCTTCAATCACTATAGTTAGCCAGACCAAACACACCTATAATGGTGGAAAATGTAACGTAGTTAACAACGTGATTGGAGATCACATGACAGTCGAACACGTGTAGAAGGGAGTTTTGGAAATTGTTAAAACAGGATAAATCGTGATTTTCAATTTATTAGATCACCTTAAACTTTTGAAAGTGCCAGCAATTTTATCAAGAGGTATAGATGCATAAATTTAACAAGACAAGCATATCAAAATGATCGCTTAGACGTTTATGTTTTAATGAACAGTGGCGTAGCCAACCCAACGATTTCGTCCCGCTATGTAAATTTCGAGGTATTATAATTATTCATGTCTTTAGAAATTTGTTGTATTCATAGTCAATGAACACGAAAATATTAGCAGGACAATTCAGTGAAGGTGGTCTTGTACCAATTTTCGTTTTATTTTGAAAAATATAAAAATCTTTTTATGCCATATTGCATGCAAGCCAAGTGGCTCTGAGTGAAAAAAGACTTGTAGGAATGTTCGATCACTATAGGTGCCCTGACCAGACACACCCAATGGTGGAAAATAGACGAAAATTGATGTTTTATCAAAAAATGTAAATTTATCAAGTTAGCTTTATTACTTTTTGACTTGACGTTTCCAAACCGAGTTTAAGTTTTCTAAGAAAAGCGACAAAAAAGCATATATATTCATAAATTATAGAGAACAATACAACAGAACAATGAAACGTAGAATAAGCTAATTGACCCCTTTTGTTTGCTCAGCGTAAAACCATAAAACTTAGAACTAATAAAACTTTTCATTAAATTCATCCATTCTTTATATATTTCATTATTTGTTGGAAATAAATGTTTCAATGTTCCGTACTAGCAAACCAACATAATTATATAATCAAGAATATACCACTGTAGTTTGTGTGTGCGCCACCTCTGTTTAACTGAATAAATTTGTAATATTGAAAAAGATGATTACTCACTACCCTTTCACTTCGGTCTGCGGGATTATCGGTCGCACTTCGGTCTTCTTCTTCATGCTTTTTTTAAAATTTTCAGAAGTCGACGAATGTGTTAGGAATCCCCAAGCATGTCATGAGAATGCCAACTGTCAGTACAACAACGGTTCTTACGCCTGTCAGTGTATACATGGTTATTCAGGAGATGGCAAGAACAATTGTACAGGTAATATACAATCAGGCTCATTACAGAAAAATACTAACGGGGTAGCGGTTGATCGAGGCAGGTTGACTAGGCTAAGCAATTTCTCCGTGAGTTGACTCGACAAGCTGAAACTGCGATCCTACGGCAAGACCGGACAACTCGTTTAAATAATAAGCGAAGCATTTAGGAGCCAAAACACCTTCATCTACATATATATATGAAGATAAGAAGGCTATTTACACATAAAAACTACAAATTTGTTTCGAAACCACTCCAAAGTGAGTGCTCTCTCGTCAGGTCTAAAGTGTGCCAGCTAACTTCGGTCTTATATATACTCGTTCGCTACACGTTCTTTAACAAAAGCTTTCCTCCGTGACGGCATTTGTTAGCAAGTTCATTTCTACTGTTTAATGTACCCATATGGGGTTTGCAAATTATAAAAAATTCTCAGTGATGCATAAATTACATCGCTTGCTTACATTTGTATGCGGTTGTGCTTTGGCGATAATTTTCCATGACAACTTATAGCTGACGCCTTTGTCGTTTTGTTCCCAAATGTGTTTGCTCAGTTGCGTCGCATTCATTTTGTTTTTGTCCTTAAACGATGCTAAGTGGTTGGCGTATCTGGTTTTAAACTTGTTCTGCGTCACAAGAACAAGTTTATAATTCTCCAAATGTCAACAATAAATTATAATTCCCCAAATGTCAACTAATGTACTTGTAGTGCAGTTGCGTAGCCAGCCCGACAATTTAGTCATGCTATGCTAATATTTTGGTATTCATTGACTGTGAAAGTGGTAGGTAGGGGCAGGGCGTCTATAAGATAGGGCGGCGAAACGCACGGATGGCGTGTTGAAACATGTGTGATGTGCGGACCCCCCATGAAGATTCGAAAAACTGTTTTCAAAATGGCGGTGGGTTACTTAGATGACGAAGAACTTGAGATGTTTATTAGTTTGGATGACACTGATCTGGCAACAGATGACACAAATTTGTCATTTCCAGTTGAAAATACTGTTAATTTCAACGTAAAGGAGTTAATTGCTGTTCTTGAAAGGTTTCTTCGTGTTTTTTATACCCGTCCCAGTCCGCTGGTTACCAAGACAAGTTTGTAAACATGGTTCCGTTTTATGGTTGTCGTTTTCCAGAGAAAATTGTGAAAAAGGCTCAAAACATTATGCAACCATTTGCACGTGGAATCGATGTTAATGAACAAGGGAGTTATTTTCTAAATTTTCCAGCTTTAGGAGCTATGGCAAGGTTTTCAATTTTTTAATGGAAATTTTGTATATTGAAAATTCGAAAACGTTGTTGCGACGCGGTCAAATGCTCTTGCATGCAAGTAAGTTAGCATTTTCTTGTTTTGTTTTTAGCTTGTCCAGGTCGACATTGCCATGACGAAAGAAAAACATATCATATTTTCAATTCGGAACGTTATCTAAGTATATAATATAATTTAACGGGATTTTGTGTTGATATTTTCCGACCTCGCAGCCGTGATAACAATTTTGTTGTAGAAAGTTTGAATACGTTCACTTCTACAAATGATTGCAAAAAAGGTTCAAAACGTTGTGTAGTGAAATTTGCTACAAATGTTCGTCAATATTATGTACACCAAATCTTGAAGTATAATGCTTTTGGGGATTTTCCTCACTGAGAAAAATCAAAATATGTATGATACATCTAAAAACAGACCAAGTAGCCGTGCGTATCCGTAGTTTTAATTTGACAAATTCGGTCAGTTAACTTTTGAAGAAACAATTTTAAGACACAATATTAATAGAAAGAGTTATAAATTACACAGGAGAAATCTTATTTTAGATATCGCGTTAATAGTTTCAGAGATTGAGTGGTTTTAATCGAGCTTGTTAAAAACCAAGTAAATATTGTTTCGTTCGACAATTTTTCGCTGAATGCCCCGTCCCAGTCGTAAAATCGCATCACACATGTTTCAACACGCCATCCGTGCGTTTCGCCGCCCTATCTTATAGACGCCCTGGTAGGGGTGAACCCCACGCGTGGACCCCACGCGAAACGTTGGCTATCCAGCGGAAAAAACACGTAACGTGTGCATCTCATGCGGGACATCGGAAACTGTTGAATTTTCCCGAAGATATGCGTGAACCCTTCGCTCGAATAGAATAATGCAAGGGCGTTTAAGGAATGGTGAAAGCATTATAATGAAGCGTAAATACGAACAATAGCGTAAATACGCACGATATGTTTGTTCGACAGCAACTTACTTAAATTACACAAATGGCGGTTTACTTAACACACAGTAAGGATTTGCGAAGAATATATTTTATTTTACTAGGATTACACATTTGTGTCAATATTTAGTACCATTAGACTAATGTTCATTTTAGGGATTCGTTTTCTATTTATGCTTTGTGATACAGTTCAGTTCATACGTTAACCTTGGTTTTATCGTCCTCATATCATATGTCATTGACACACGAATCATTTCCATACTTCAATTTTCATATTATCGAGTTACTCAAAAATATTAAATATTCTATATATGCTCTGTGATGACTGTTCTCATTACTTGTAAACAGTTTTATTGTTGTTGCATGGAATATGAGGTGGAATATCGGTTACAAATTTTGTGCGATGAGCAGATGAGCACATGCTCGTGATGAAAATGTAGCTATGAACTAGCGGCCGGAAAGAAGAAAATTTCCACATGGATTAACGATTTTAACATTTATTTGTCTTGCAAATAGTTACAGCAATAAACAATAATTTCTTCTAAAACGTTTTATTTTTTTATTTATTTTTTCGTTTGCCATGGTTTCCTTTAGAAAGGTTCGGTAAACCTTTGCCATTGGGCTAAATTTAAAGTCTAATTATCATCATCGTCATTATCTTCACTGTCTTTATTTTCCTCGTCATCTTCAATCTCGTGGTCGCTTAAAAGCCTTTTAATAAGAAACTTTCTCTTATTAACTGCAGCTTCTATTACCTCTTCTGGGTCAAAATCATCATTTTGAATAAACGCGTATAATTCATATTGTTCAATTTAAAAAATAACCCAATATAATTCATGTTGTTCAATTTAAAAAATAATGTTGGTTGCAAATGCGATGAGCAGATGAGCACATGCTCATAACTGCTCATGAGCACAAGGCATTTCCATTCTTCCAGTGCTAAGGGAATGAGCTGCCAATTTTGCGGAAGATACCTTAACTCGCGGTTACAGTCAGCGTAGATACGAACGGGAATACTGTCCATTGCAAGAACAAGAAAAAAACATGTCTCAAACAGACTCGCGGACAGTCAAGAAAGAGATTTCCGTGACGATGTCTCAACAACTTCTACTCAGCAGTCTGGAGGTTCGACGGCGACTGACTCAGAATCTGGAGAAGAAATGGATCCCTGGATACCACTAATAGAAGAAGCAAAACAAAGAAGTAACACAGTTTTCGAGGAAATGAAAAAACGCCTCATAAACAGAGGTTTCGATGAGCACTCTGCTAAAGAGAAAGCTTACTTGAATATTATGCCTAGACTCCAGAAAGAATTAGAAAATATCTATTTAGAGCGCCTTTTGTGGATGAGACAACTTAAGAAAGATCCAGTAAATAAGAAAATAATGCACACAAAATATGCGTTCATTCAAAATGATGATTTTGACCCAGAAAAAGCAATAAAAGCTGCAGTTAATAAAAGAAAGTTTCTTATTAAAAGGCTTTAAGCGACCACGAGATTGAAGATAACGAGGCAATAAAGACAGATTCTGACAATGATGATAATTAGACATTAAATTTAGTCCAATGGCAAAGGTTTACTGAACCTTTCTTAAGGAAACCATGGCAAACGAGCAAAAAAATAATGCTGTAACTATTTGCGAGACAAATAAATGTTAAAATCGTTAATCCATGTCTGAAATATTCTTCTTTCGGCCGCTAGTTCATAGCCACATTTTCATTTTACCAACAAAAATTTCAATTGGGTATGAAATATCTCATTGAGCAGATGAGCAGTTACGAGCATGTGCTCATCTGCTTATCGTACAAAATTTTGTAACCGATATTCCACCTCATATTCCATGCAAGTACACGGTTGAAACAACAATAGAACTGTTTACAAGTAATGAGAACAGTCATCACAGAGCATATATAGAGTATTTAATATATTTGAGTAACTCGATAATATGAAAATTGAAGTATGGAAATAGTTCGTGTGTCAAAGACATATGATATGAGGACGATAAAACCAAGGTTAACGTAGGAACTGATCTGTATCACAAAGCATAAATAGAAAACGAATCTTTAAAATGAACATTAGTCTAATGGTACTAAATATTGACATACAAATGTGTAATCCTAGTAAAATAAAATATATTCTTCGCCAATCCCTACTGTGTGTTAAGTAAACCGCCATTTGTGTAATTTAATTAAGTAAGTTGCTGTCGAAAAAACATATCGTGCGTATTTACGCTATTGTTCGTATTTACGCTGCGGGGAGTTCACGCATATCTTGTCCCGCATGGGATCCACGCGTTGCGTGTTTTTTCCGCTTGATGGGTGAGGCTACCTACTTGTGAAAACATTGAATTTCTAAAGAAATGAATAATGATAATAACATAAAATTGCATAGCATGACTAAATCGTCAGGCTGGCTACGCCACTGTTGTGGTGTACTGTGTAAAATTCAAATGAAGTTTGACTGTGGACGTGCGAGTTTCTGTAACTCATAAATACGAAAACTAAGCCTAAAAGAGCGCAGGAAATCCACATTAGATCTTCACTGCGCGTACGAAGACGGAGTACGAAGCCTGTTTTAAATGCGGATGTTGTGTGGAGAAAATGTAAGAGTCGACTACATGCTGGTTTAAATATTTTGATATCGTTTGGGAATTAGCTATAATTATTAGGCAAATTGGTACGTCGGAAACAATAATATTCCAAACAAAAGTGAACCTAGGGAAGTTAGGAGCTATTATTAATCACTATACGGGTATATTTTCAGATGTGGATGAATGTAGCATAACTCCGGATATTTGTCATCGAAATGCAACCTGCACTAATAGCAAAGGAAGTTATTCTTGTGGATGCCTAAAAGGTTTCACTGGTGATGGTCATCGTTCTTGCTCAGGTATAACTGTAATGTCATTAAGGCTTCGGCACAAAGACAAAGTGACATAGTTGCTTAAAAATAATACATTCCAGCACCTTTTCGTACATTTAATATTTTATTTTTTACATATTTATGGCTAAAATATTCATATACACTAAAAGGAGCTAGGTTTTTTCCATTTATGAAGTTAGGTGCAAAAAATAGTGACAATAGTTTATCTAAATTTACCTAAATTCTTCCGTAGTAGATAAGCATGTTTGTGGTATATGTAAGCAGGCTCAGCTCGAGTTTCCTATGTTGAATTCAAGACAATGACGCGCTATTGAGTGGACAAAAAAGTTATTTATCTATACGTGCTTAATTAAGTATTTGTATTTACCTGTTTGTCGTCTATTTATCAATTTCGAACTAAATTTCGAACAAATTAACTAATTTCGAAACATAATCCAGTTTAAAAAAAACCAATTTTCAAATATATGAAATATAAACTGATCGCGGGCTCAAAATGTACCGCTGACAAAATATTAAATTGCTGGCGCAAATGTTTTGACATGTTTCTTTAGTGTTTCTCTGTTTGAGTCTTGTAAATTTGTGAATACAATGTAAAACAGTGAAGAATATGTTTTTTTTGACAATTCTTTAACATTTCTATTGCTTCGAAAAGACGTAGTAATTGAGCTGAAAACAAATCTGTTTAAAATTCATTAAAATCATCATTATCCCACACTATTTCAATTTTATCAATTTTTTATCAATTTTTTGCGCGTCATACAAATTTATTTCTCACTTGATCCTGCACCTTTAGAAAATTTAGTTCTTAATTGTATGCAATCTCAATCTCTTTTCTTTTCTTTACCGTTTCTTTAGATATTAACGAGTGTACTAATCTCAACGCTTGCAATAAGAACGCACGATGCTCTAACCTTGTAGGTTCCTACGTGTGTAAATGCACTGTCGGGTACTCGGGTGATGGCTATATCAATTGTACAGGTGCTAAATGTAAAATATACATATACTAACAGCCCTCGGTCAGAAACGAAATTCTTACTTTGTTGAAATAGTACTTATACCGGATTTCCCTTATGCGATATTTTTCTTTATCATAAAGACAATATATTCTCTATATATATTGGCAGGGTATTCCATACATAAACGGGCAGCCAATAGCAGGGAGAACCCGCGTAATTGCTATTGCATATTGCTATAAACTGACCTTGCAATTTATTAAATACAAGTTTTTCACGGATGACGTTAAAAAGAACGGTTTATATATGGTCAGGATGTTAACTTGAAATAATATCGGTCTTGTCTGCTCCTACAACTTTAAGAGCTAGCATTAATAAGTGAGGGGACATATAGTCATATATTCGTGCTCACACACCGTGAAAACAATTAATTTGAAAATGAATAATGTAAACACGAATATATGCATTTGTCTCACCGCAACTTATCAAGCTGGCAAGGCAACTGACTCTGCCATGGTATAAAAAGCTTATAATAACATGACGGTCTCCGTTTTTGTTTCAGGAAGGATAATTACTAATGTAATTTCCTTCAGAGATACCGTGCAGGGAGTGAACTGTAGGGCCACTTTACTGTTCATTTTAAAGTTGTTTTTTTAAATATTCATTCTTCGTCGTTAAAGCAAGTCTGCTTGGGCACCTGGACATTATGTCCACAATTTCGGCAATGAAGTACTTTAAAGCCTTGTAGCGAGTGCAACAAACACTCCCATTTGGCGCCCAATCAGAAGCATCCGTTATTCTATTACTGCATACCAACGTGTTCAATCTACGATATTTTATCATATAATTGCTAACAACATCTACAACGATGGTTAACGAACAATTTTTTACTAGATATAAATGAGTGTACTGCGCAACCAGTCTGTCATCAAAACGGTACATGCTCAAATACCCAAGGATCCTTTTCATGCCAGTGTAATAAGGGGTATTCTGGCGATGGGAAATTGCATTGCGAAGGTATGTTGCAATTCTCTTACCATTACTAGAAGGTTTGATCATACGCGAACATTTAAATCTGAATATAAGTCATCACAGCTGCCTTGGGGAATCTAAGAATATGGTGTCTCTGAGACATTTTGGGCAATGATTTAGCAACGCAAAAATACAGTATTCTAAGTTTTTTTAGTTACCCCTGCTATGCAGGTTTCTTCGCAGACAAGTAGCTATATACAGATATCAAATAGAATATAGGCCATAAACTACTGTCTATTCATTAACACGTAAAACCATGGCCCAAATTATAGCACGATGAACAAGACCAAAATACAATCATTGATATATAATAAGTAAAGTAATAAAGGGAAAGAGTGTCTTGTTTTTACGTTGGGATTGATATTCATCATAGCATAAACAAACACGCTCAGTGTAATGACAATATGACACGTTTATACATCACAGAACTCACCTCTTAAAATATCGCAGATTTGCACCGATATATTGTATATTTTCTCATATCCTAAACGTCCATATCTTTATCAGTAATTTAAAGTAAAAGGCGAGATACAATTGTCATATTGGCAATAAAAGCAATATTTCTTTCGAGATTTCTTTAATATGCGTTGTAGATTTCTTCGCACAAGTAATCAAATTTGAAATTTCCCGCATGGTCTAAGCTCGAAAGGCATAATGGGTAAATGGAATAATTAGGCTCTTTGCGTCAGGCAATTCTACCTGCAGGCAGGCGTGACCTTAACTCTCGGAAGATTTTCGTAGATAAAAGCGGCATTTTAAATTATAATTAACTTTGTCCTACATTAACTATAGCTTGTCAGCAATTGTCAAGCTATGCGCAAAGCCTCCTTGCAAGAAAATACCAGAAAAAATTCAAAATCAGGGAGACTCATTCCTATGTATCAACTCGTTTTCATTAATATTTTCCCTTCTTTTTAAGCTAGTAGCTATTAAGATTAAGCTATTTGCCTTTTTGACAGTGCTAGTCAGGTGTGATTATAAGTTTGATTATAACATTTGACCAAAGGCGGTCCAAAATTGCGTAATTACCTTATTGCATTTAATTTCATATGAAATCCTTTCACATGTGAGATCTCACATGTGACTTTATGTGAAATGCTTTCACATGTGATCTCATGTGAAATCATTTCACTTTACATGTGAAATGTCACACATGTGATTTTATGTGAAATCCTTTCACATGAGAAATGTCACATGTGATTTCATGTGAGTTTTGAAATTCACATAATTTCACATGATCTCACATGATTTGACATATGGGATTTTATGTGGAATTTTTGTAAGGGTTACCGTAAGTATCAGTATACCCCGCTGGAGAAGTTTTAGATGCCAGCCGCGCGAGTCGAGAGTTGATGTCTACTGCATAAGTTCTGGCTAAAATTACATTGCAAAGGTATGACTGATGTTCCCGATACCAATGCCTCCTCTAGTGTTATTTATAATCTCTATATTCATGTCAATGTAAAAAAGGGTTTTCTGGTGAAAATTACATTGCAAAGTTATGATGTAACTTCGTGTATTAATACCGGAAATTTCGATATATAATTCTACACAGAAGTTCGCATGATATATGGTGTTTCTGTTGAATACCGAATCTTCAACCTCTGTTCTAGTTATGAAAATTTTCATATCCAACTTGAGGTTGTTAGGAATTTGTTCAACTTGAATAGTTATCCCGCTCATATGTTTGACGAATTAGTTCGTCGCTTCCTTAACAACACCTTTGAGCCAAAACCACTTATTCACACAGTTTCAAAGAAAATGGTCTATTTTTGCCTTCCCTTCACTGGCTCCCACTCGCTTCAGATTCGCAATCAAATTACTCGACTTTGTAATGCTGCTTATCCGCATCTTAATATTCGCTTTATTTTTCGTTTCACCACACGTATTTCTTCCTTTTTTCCATTTAAGGATAAAGTTCCCAAGTTTCTGAGATCTGGTGTTGTATACCTTTTCAAGTGTCGATGCTGTTCCGCATCGTACGTGGGTCAAACCACACGCCATCTACACACCAGAGTATCTGAACACTTAGGAATTTCCCCTATAACTGGAAAACCGTCATCTAGTCCAGTTTTGTCCAGCATCTTCTCCCACATAACCACTGCAGGGCACTGTGCCGACTTTGATGATTTTAAAATTCTTTCTTCATGTTCTGACAAACATGAACTCATGATTCATGAAAGCCTCCTCATCTCCAAACTCAAACCCTCACTTAACATCCAGGGCAGTTCAATCCCACTTAATCTTCTGTAACGTGTTTTTTTATTGTGTTTATGTCCCTTCGTCTGTGCGGTTTTGTCATGTACAATCTTATACCTTCCTATCCGTCATTAATTTACATATGTAAATAGATTATATATACTCAAATCTCATGTAATTTTATATCACTTGTCTGAAGATGTCTCAGGTTAAAGACGAAACGTTACAAATATATTAACTTTTAAACTTTAAATTGTTTTGATGGCTTTCTTAAATGTTATATGTTGGGCTCTCATATTTATAATAACAAAAACATATCCAAAATTCAAACACAAAATACTTAAAAGATGTTTAAAATTTATTCTACTTTTATGTTTACGCTCTAGTTTAAAAACTTGTCGCCTTTTGTCACTCTGAATTAAGTCTGTGTAAAAAACTGAACATTAAACGGTTTCGCGAAGATATGGATTTATGTTCTTGCGTGTCAAAAAAAACCTCACTCGTTCGCTATGCACACCCCTGATATCACAGCACCGCATTTCAAGAGCAATACTGGAATCATATTTTATTATATGTGTATAGAGATTTATGCACAGCAGAATGATGAAATAAAAATCGTATTTCACTGTGTAAATTAATTTCACGCAATTTGATTGGACGTACGATGTTTTTCACGTGTGAAAAAATGCCATACACGGCTTTTGATTGGACGTACGATATTCTTCACACGTGAAAAATTGTCGTAAGTCATTTTGGCGGCAATTAGCCTTTCTCACGATGACGAATATGCCGCCATTTTTGGGGTACTTTTTTCAAAAACCGTGAGCGTAAGACTTGGTAAAGGCGACTGTCTTTAATTTAAGGCTGAATTTATTCTTCTAATGGTCTGTTTATTCTAAAAAAGTTGCTTTTGATGTTTAAACATAATTTTTAAACCCATTTCAGAAAATTGAAAGTACCCCAAAACGTCATCGTGAGAAAGGCTAATTTGTTTACATTTTCTTTCAAGATGGCGTCGAAATATAGGAATGAAATTCAAAACATAATTCTCATATTCAAGATATTTTTACATTCAGCACATTCTCAAATCTTTCGGAAAGAATATCTAACTTCTATTGTACAAAATTACAAAGAAACTGAACGGTAATAAATATGTTTTCATGGATAAAGTTTCGATTTTGTTGCTGGCTGTGTTTTTGTATATTAAAAGCGTGTCGTTGTCAAATTGATCTCTATAGACATTTAATTAACAAATTACTTCATGGTTGGCTCGTTTGTACGATTTTTGTAAAATCGTACGCACTCGCCAACCATGAAGTAATCTCTATAAATCTTCTAGGTTCATTAAACATATACTAAATTATTAATCATTATTATATATGGGATCATTTACTCTAGACATCGATGAATGTGAAGCCAAGCTTAATACCTGCCACCCTCTCGCTAACTGCAGCAACATTCTAGGATCATATTCTTGCCAATGTAACACGGGATTTTTTGGAGATGGAAAGCTTACTTGTGAGGGTAAATATTCATAGTATTTCTTGAATTTAGCTTATTATACATATAAAGCCTAAAGGTACATGATTTCTTTCACACATTTAAATTCTAAAAAGTGCACTTTCAATAATGATAATTGCAATGAGCGAAGTGCAATTTGGTGTGTTTTCAAAGGCGCGTTGTTAATCACAAGTTTGATTTCACACCAAATTGCACTACACGAAGTGCAATTACCACTTTATTGTATATTCATTTTGAAATAAACTAAAGTAACGTTTAACTGTATTTCATCTTAAAATTTATATGTTTTCATTCCTTCATTGGTCATTTTGAATTTCAATATTGTGAATATTTTTGGCCCAATTACCAGCGAAAGGTGGAGGCGTCACGCATGAATGATCCAACGCCCATGTAAACTGTGAAGCTTTTCAGCCTTCTGCTCGTTTAATTGGGGTGAGCGTAAACATATGGCAAAACGACGAAACTGTTGGCAACCGGATTGCCAAAAAGTCCGTCGCTTACAGCTTAATTGTCCGTCGCTTAAGACTCCTGTGACTGCCCTGATTTCCAAAAGTATTATTGAAATAGAATCCAATTTTTCCTTAATCAAAGAAGTGTCGTGTAAACTGCTTATCCCGCAAAATACTTATTTCGTGTAAAGTTCATAACGCAAGGCTTAGCGTCGGTGTAAGAATTTATGAAGAAAAAAAACTTTGGCCTAACTTGTTAGGCTGTTAGCTGAAAGCTTTGGAGACCACACGGCACAACAGCAAGGAAAATATTATATACAATTACAATCGTATCTGCAACCATTTGTATGCGATCCAGATAACCTAAATCCCTGCGCAGACAAAATTTCAGAAACCTAATGACAATTAAATTATACACGCAGTGAATTCATGAAGCATACGCCTGTTGAAATAAACCAGGTTCTAGCATTAAAAAACAGAATAGTATTACACTAACCCAAAAAACGTTCCCCTGCCCACTTTGTCAATAGCAGATACCAGAGATGCCAAGTTTATTAAAAAAAAAATCGTCGTTGGTAAAAAAACGCATATATTAATTGCATGGTTAATCTGGTTAACTGAGGCTATTGCATGTAATCAAACTTACGATATGGTATAATTATTTGTAATTGTATCGTAAAAATACTAACAATATCTAGAGCTATGTATTCAATATCTATTAAAAGTGGAGACGAATTTAGATACAAAAGGTTAACAATCTCTTTTTTACTAGATGTAAATGAATGTAACAGTGCGCAACCAGCTTGTCATCAAAATGCTACATGTTCAAATTCTCAAGGATCCTTTTCGTGCCAATGTAAAAAAGGGTTTTCTGGTGATGGAAAATTACATTGCAAAGGTATGATGTATAATTTCGTTATCAATACCAGAAATTTCGATATATAATTACACAATGAAATCGAACTATATATGATTCTGTATGCATGAATGAAATCGAACTATATATAATTCTGTATGCATGAATGCGGAATCAATGTGTTGTAATATACTAAGAGTGTATAATTACGACAGCTTTTAGCCAAAGACAAGCTAAAGAAAATTAACTAGCAAACACAGCGGTCTATACTTAGGTCACGTACATGCATGACATGAGTTTATTTTCCATGCAAGAATGTAAGTTCTTATAAAAAACATACAATCCAATTTTCTTAGTGCTTTGGCTATTCCAGGGTTATTTATGGAGATAAACTCGCATATTTGTGATATTTTTGCAACAAATTTTGAATTAAAAAAAATATCTAATTTATAGTTTTCTATTGCCGAAATAGGTAAATACACAGCAATAAATACACAACTTTTATGAATTATGTGTTAAATCAGTTTTTTGTTTTTCAGACTATCATGCACTTTCCGAAACGTGTAACGCACATGCAATGATATTTTTTTAGATATCGATGAGTGCTTTTACTCAACGCCTGTCTGTCATAAACATGCGAAATGTACTAACACAATGGGATACTATTCTTGCAAATGTAACCAAGGATTCTTCGGTGATGCCATACATAGTTGTACAGGTAGAAAAATTTCGATTTACTTCTCTTTTGTATTTGTTCGGAATGTTAAGATAATAATGTTAAGATAATCGATTTGCATGTTTCCTTCTTTTGTAGTCAAAAAGCTTGATAAAACGATTCGAATACGATTCACTAACATACTTACGCCTCAGTTTTGTAAAGCAATTTTGCTTTATGGTGTAAACGTTAGAAAGAAATTACAGGGCAACGAAAAAATTTAATTATTATTTGATCAATAAAGAATTGTTTATGATATTGCTTATATAGTAACAGGAGAGCTCGGTACATTTTCAGCTAGGGACTTTACATGCAGCAAGAAATTCAGCTCTCTCTCTGAAATTTTAGCAAACCTTTTTTCGGCCGGCATTAACGCTTTGGTTTTCAGATTTTGTGCTCAAATCTCTAACTTGTTTTCTGAAATTTTGGTCTTAAATTACTTTTTAAAAAGAGGCAGGGAAATTTCAAAAATAATAAGTGTGCATTATTGCCTCGCAATGCATGCTCGTCAGCCAATAAAATTGCATGCTTGTTATATTACAGTTGATATTATAATACATTTTAGTGTATGTCTTGGACAGTTTGTATACACAACATTTGCCGCGTTAAAAAATTACACGTTTCAAGTATAGAGTTTGCATGCTTTCTGGTGGCATTTCACAGAGATCGATGGTATTTAAATTAACTACATGCGATAGTATTTGAGATGTTTATTTTTAAAAGGTACTTGAAAGGTATTTTTGAGCCGACTTGAGGCCTTGAACTCATATACCTGTATAAACCTTATTATTTTATTTGTAAATTCGCCATCACGTAATTATCTGAAATTGTGCATTTTAAAACGTTTAGAAAATCAGCCACCTGAGTTTATCACGCAAAGCTTAGTCTACGCCATTTTGGATAAAGATTTTCAAATCCATGTCGATGCAAAAGACAGTGAAAGTCAAAACATAACATTCACCTTGTTACCAAATGGAACGTTGACTACGGCTATAATGGCGAAACAATTGCTTACAGTTCCGAAACTTAAAACAAATGGAACAGTTTTTATACAAGCCGAGGATCAGATGGGCGCAAAGAGCATCTTAATTCTTCAGGTTTTTGCTATCGTATGTCCTTGCAAAAACGAGGGCGAATGTTATCACAACAAGACAGTCCTATATCCAAAGCAACCGTCAGATTATCAGTGTAAATGCGGGCCCCTCTTTTCCGGAAAATTTTGCGGAACTCGCCGAAATCCATGTCGGGGGCATCCATGTTATCCAGGTCTTGTGTGTTCATCTGTCAATAATTCCGGCGAGTTCACTTGCGAGGATTGTCCACCATTATTTGAAGGAGACGGAAAACAGTGTAAACTCCAACCAAATAAAGGTTAGATTTATCGTATAATAACCAAAATATTTTGTAATAAATTTTGTTTTATTACAAAGTCGACAAAGCTTGCTTGATATTATATTTATATATCTCATGCACTGTTCTGTATTCAGCTAACTTAAAAGGCTGTACCTTCGAAAATCTTATGATCTGGACAATAAGAGCGAATAGGATGAACGACATCACACAATTTCAATCTTAAAATAGGAAAGTCTATCTTGAAAAAAAGTAATTCTATACATCGGATATAAGTGTTTATCATACGTTTTATGATTGTGGCTCAAGAAGGCCAATGTCAATTTGAACAATATGTAATGAGGTGATAATGAAGCTTATCGAGGTCTATCATCTAATGTCTATTGTTTCAATTGCATTTGACGCGACCAAAATGCGACGTATAAACTAGGCTTAAATATTTTCTGTAAAATCCCCTTGCCCACACGATGTTTAAGGTTTGATTAAAGGTATTAATAAGATGTAGCATGAGCTAGGACGTGAATGTTAATCATAGCATGTTCACCCTAAACCTTTTCACTTGGACGACCTTGCCATTATATACGTTTTCTTGACTATATCTTAGAGATATATTTATAATATCTAGTCTGATAAATTTATAAGTAGTTGATATTTTAAAGTTGTATGTACTAATTGCTATAGTAAAACCTATAACGTTTAATAATCTTGTAAATAGTTGCTAAAAATATTTTTGTATACATAATCATGCAATTCAGCCCTATGGCTGCTCGATGATTTTAATAAACGGATTATCTATCTATCTATTTTTCTATAGGACAAAACATAAAGGAATCCGAAATGACTTTGACAGATGAGAAATGGGATGATCAACTGAAAAATGATTCATCAGATGTCTACAAAAATCTCGTATTGCTCTTGACAGTTGAGGTGGGTTCAAGGCTAATTACTGAGCCGCTTAATAGCCGGAATTGAATTGGGAAAAGTAAAAACATGAATTTAAGGATCAATTTCTACCGCTTTTCTTTCTCGGTAATAGCGATGGTATGTATTGGTTGAATGGCGAAACATCATAAGCTTAACTTTTTCTGTTCGTGTGATTGTATTCCATGTCTTTCTAAATGCTTTAGTTTATCAGATGTTGTCGATGTATGAAATGCTTTTGCTCTAAAATTATATTTATACAGGACGTAATTTCGAGTGTTCGATACACTCACATGCAACTTTGCGGTTCTTATTTATCCGAGCCATGTGTATTTTATTGTTCTTTTCTACTCTGCGTCTGAAAACTGTTTATATATAATCAAGTACGAAGTAAGTAGATTTTCGTGTGAAATATAATAACGAATTCCTATTTTATGACGTGGGCACTTTAACTTCTAAAATCCTTTGAATTGTCATCGCTACCCAATTAATTTATATTTAACCGAAAATGTGTTTAGTCGCAGCATTAAATCATTCAGTGTCGATCTGTTATAATTTGCATTACATGAAGTAGCGTGTGTAAAACATGATTTCATTCTCCCTCATTGCCGCATTCGTCCGAATGAAAAATATTTTCTTATTAATCTGTCATGCTCTATAATCATGCACAATCATATAAGTAAACACATTTACAGGCCTGGCTAGCTCCAAACGAACAATAACTGATTTATTTTAACGTTGTCAATTAACATACTTTTGTAATTGAATATAATCCTATATAACGATTTAGTAACTGAAAGTCTCTCTTCAATATCGTCCTGTACCTACATATCTTTGGCAATGTCCAATTTCCATCTACCATGAAGTTTTAATAAGCGTTCATTGCGTCGATTTATTGTAAGGGTGTTTCTGTAGCACCATCAGCTCGAAAGCTATGAAGTGAGTACTCACGTTCATCATAACTTAATTGTCTCAATCTCAGGCAATCCTTAAAAAGCTTGATCTTGTATACGACACCGCTTTATTACCCAAAATCTATTGTTTTGTCTGTTTTAAGTAGACTGAATTTCTGAACACGTAGTCTTTACTGTCATTTAAAGTTATATTCGCTTGCTGAAGTTATCTGTTTAGTAAAAACTCTGGACATGTGCCTTTATTCGACCGCGAGATATACACGTCTTGACTTTGTCGATAAATCTCTGTCTGTTACAAATGAACATCACAGACACGATTGTTAAGCAACTCTTTTGAGCGAAACAAACCAGCAAAGCATAAGACACTCATCGTTCTGCATCTTAAATTTTTGAGCGTTGCTTCTTCCTTCCCAAACAATTTTCTGTATTAGGTCGACCGATGTTGGCTTTTTCTTGACAATAGTTCTTCGCCAGTTCCTCGATTTTACTAGCTGAACATACTTGTTTTGCTTCTGTATCGCTAGAGATTTTTGGCGTTGCAAAGGCCTCATAATCATCACTATAGGCTCGTCATCTTTATCTCCTGCTATAGTTATACCAATAGCGGTTGGGTTTTCGTTCTTTGACGCGCAAACCGACATGCAAGGTAACGATTGGCTTTGAGATACACTAGCTTCAATTGGATCAAACTGATGTTGCTCATTAGCCTTGCTACGTTCATGTAATGCAGACGATGACATGGTGTGACAGCGTTTGGATAATGATGGCTTTGTTGCAGGATCATCTGCTGCATTTCCGTGTTTCCTCTTCCTGAAATCCAAGGTATTCAATAAGTCAATTAATCTGCACAGAAAACAGTGTTCAGCTTAAAGATGAAACGTACCTGTTTGGCTGATTTTGTTCCAACGTCTTTAAAATTGGGCCTGCTCTGAGATCACCAAATGATATTACATCAATCTCTTCATTTTGATGTACGCTTTCACGATGTCTGTCAATGTAGGAGGGGAGAAATCTTTTCAACGTCCACTTTTTTCTGTTTGAGTTGAAACAGGTGACACAAATGGCTTCTTGCGTGTTCACATGTCCAGATTTTGGCCTAGCTTTCGATAACTTCTCGGGTTTTGGATCTCTTCTGCTGAACATTAACAATTCAAACGCTAAAAATGTCACAGATAAAGAAAATCGTTTTAGTGGTAGACATAGTTAAGCGGTAAGCAATAAAACTCTATACTTCATTCTATACTATAACTATTGATTATTTCATGGAAACGTAACATTTTGTTAGTTAATCTTTTTCAAAAAATGAAAAAATATACATGCAAAGTTTAGGATCGTGTCTGACAACTTCATCCAGAATATGCGTGGTGTTGTTGCTCTTTTATAAGTTCCTCTTTACCCTGATGCCATACCTGATCCACCAGTCTTGCTTGATGCTGCATCCTTGGCTTTGTTAGCAGCAGATTTACGCAAATCAGTAGTAGAACCTGAAATTGCATGCATATTGAAATACGTCACGTGCACGCATTTTATATATAATAAAAAGGTCTATGAAAATTTAATTGTAATGCATTAATGTCGGTATTCGATTCCAGTGGGTGAATAGCAAAGAGGATTCTCATATTTTAAATGGTGCTAATAAACCTACCTTCCGGTGATTCACATAAAAAAACATGTAACAGGTTGGCCATAACCTTCTTCTGACCCAGGGAGCGGAATGCCACAATGGAGTTTGTGCACTTTGTTTGTGCACTTGCAGCATTTATGGCCATCGCCTACTGGCGTGTTGCAATAGCAGCATTGATCTAAGATGTATAAAACACTCAAAATTCAAGAATGATTTCGCTATCTCAATGATACAGCTGTTACAGTTACAGTATAAATCTGATGAATAAACTAATAAATTAATAAGCTTTTTTGGTCAGTGATCTGTAAACTGAAGTGAGTTGATAAGTGATAGCATTCTCACATGCGCTTTTTTGTATTCTTGTAAACAATATACTTACACTAAATAAGCCATTATAAAACAAACAGCAATAAACCATGTGTAATATGTAAAGTATATAAGCTCACCTTGCACGGAAATCTCGACGATGCTATCGCAGTCATCTAAGGCTGGGCTAAAGCCACTAGCCATCCAACAATCGAATAGGTTCTTGTCCGACTTTAAACAAATTAATCTCGGTTATTTATCACTTATTTAGGTTTTCTCATTCACAATAGTTTTATACTTTTATTATATAATTTAATCTTAATAACTTCAATACCAAGGCGCTCAGCTCTGAGGTATTCACCGAGATGACACGCGGACAACAGGATTATTGACACTTCTGAAACATGATCGTATAAAACAAGTATAATTTATTGTCTCACACTCACTGGAAGAATAAACTTTCATGATTCTTTCAGCCGGAACCTTTTAGATCGGAATTTACAATTTACACATGCCATTAAAAGCGTATAGGTGACTATATTTCGTGCTGAATAAATTTAAGAAAGGTAATTTTATTGAATAGATTTATGAAAAGTAATTGTACATCCGAAGAGCTTCCGTAAAAACAACTACTCTGTTCAGAAAAACCTTGCAAAAACATCTTTTCTCGGCAATTTGTGAATTATTTGAAAAGAACTATACGCATTGTAGTGAGTCTTACCCTTATTTACATTTAAGAATGTCGGTAAAAACGAGAATTCACTTGTAAAAGCTAAAAACACGGCTCCAAAAACTATTAAAACATTCGGCTACCCTTACAATTTCGATTTAATAAACGGATCCATGCAGGCTTCACGCATCACGCGTGTACGCCCCTCAATTTCTCCGCCATGTTTATTTGACCGATGACCGATCATATGAAGTTGTCCTTGACCTTTCAGTCCTACACGCAGGCAGAGAGTGCCTGGCAGCATTTGGACAAACTCGGTGATGAAATGATGAAATGATAATCAAGAACTATAAAATTAGAGTAATTACAATAATACTTCGTAAATTTTATGAAGGATTAATTATTACGTCTTGAAAAGTGCGCATGGTAAAGTTTCGAGGCGAAGCCGAGTGCAGTATTGAACTTCGAGTTCCTTGTTTGTGAACGAGTGCATGTAAAACCCGATAATGCACAAACAAAGAGTGCTTTAATGCTTTTAATATTCATTTTGAGTAAACTTTGTATCATTTGTATCATCTTTGTAAACTTAAATAAACAGCACATGCTTATCTTTAAATACTAAAACACCCCAAGCGGTTGCTCGTTTAGTATTTTTCGGTGTGGATTCATCTATAATTACATTAATTTCCTCTTCTTTCTCTTCGCTAAGTTCGGCAAATTCTTTGTTTGTTGTCGCCATTTTGATTGTGCAATAAATGCAATAACGGCACTGCCGTGGCGTTGTTGCTATATAACATTCACTCACGTGGTACAAATCGACCAATCAGAACGTAAGTTTACAAAAAATGAATATTAATGCGAATTATAACTGAATGATATTTTGCCAAAACACATTTTCGTGTAACCTATGGTAAACTGCGAAATTAAATAAACCGCAGTCGCGGCCTAAAAAACCCGCTGGATCGTGCAACGATCAGATAGCACGAAATAAATAAACCTCCGACGTGCTAGAAAAAAATATAAAATGAAATAAATTCAAAAAGCTTCAAAAATTGAAACTCACTTCATTCTTTAGTTTTTCAGACATTCAAACGAAGATTAAAATTTTCCAGGCATTAGCGTCGCCAGATTGATAAGAGGGTGATAAGATATTCGTGTCTGCATTATTCATTTCTTTTCAAATTGATTGTTTTAACGGTCTCTGAACATGAATGTATAAATATGTCCACCCCACTTATCGATGCTGGCGACACAAGTGTTTCCAGGCACTTTCGATGTGCACGTGTAATTTTCGCTCGCATTCAAGCAAATAAAATGTTAATAAAGCCTTCTTCTGTATATACAGGAGTATATGCAATGAAACATATGAAAGTATTTACTACTCCTTCATTAATTTGATATAGATAGATCTCGTGGTCAATGGAAAACTTTTCGAAACTAATATCCAACCAAATTGTTTTTTTAGATAAGGAAAATTTACAAGGAGTATGGAATGTTTAGCTATGTCATTATCAAAGGATTCAGGTATCTAAAATTCATATACAATATGGTTTGTCTAATAGTAGCAAACTATTCCTGAATTCTTTTAGCGTATAATTGTCTATATTTTTATACTCCTTTTACCAGACCTGGTAGTATAATCGTGGAATTCCAGTTGATATTTACAGAGAAAGTTGAGGATCCTCTGAAACCGTTGTTGGAAGTAGCAAAGAGTGGAACACTGGGCAATATGACAATGAAAATAAATCATGTTCGGGGTAAGTAAAGAAAAATGTTTCTCGTACGCAATCTGTTTCATTCATAAAAGAGTTTGAAATACCGTAACCTTGAACTTTAATTCATACGCAAAACATGCCCCAAACATGCAATGTACCGCGTGTCTCAAAAAATGGAAACCCAACTTCAACACGCACGTGCACGTGGATTGCGTCATTTTTATATGATGCTATAACTTAACAGTGTTCTAGCTATCAAAGGTCATGTTGTAGAATATGGAAGAAAAATGAGAAAATTTGAATCATATAATAATCTTGGTCGAAGTAACATTTTACAAGCCTGCATCAAGAAGTATCCTCCGTCTCAAAAAATGTTTGAAGAAGGAGCATAGGTTTTGTTCTATCGTTGGTTTTGTTCTATCGTTCTATAAGTTCAATAATCGCAAAAACAATTTATTATTTGATCAACATTGATTAGTATGTCAATGCATTGCATTTGGGTACAGTATTCTACATATTTTATATAGAAACTACATATTCTTTAGAAACAATATGACATGCGATAGCTATACACTGTTTATCATATCAATAATGAATTACTCTTGTTCGTGAAGGATATGGTTCGCTGAAGAATGTCTGAAGTTAAAAGTTGTTATTATCTATTATATTTATTAGTACTTGCACGCATAGGAAAAAACTAGTAATCAGAAAATTTCTGATTGGCTAAGACAAAAAATTTGTATTTCAATGAAAAACTTCAGCAATTTAACTGTCATTTTTCAAACTATATATGTTTCGTAAACTCCATATGAAATGCGCAATCAAATAAAATGATCGACATAAACACTGGGATAAGACTAAATATTGTCAGAAGAACACACAGAAAAAGTCCTAGGCTATAGTGGTGAAAAGGAATGACTCGTGGTATATAATCCTTGTAATAGTAGATGACTATTTCGTGTTTGTTGCATGAGTGCATTTTATTTTTATAAGTATGAGCTTGGTATGTCGTTTTACAAAGATCCGACCGACTATTTAAGGCTTTACATCGTTATTTTAACTTAAAAAAGAGTTCTTCAAATTTTAATTCGGAGTTTTGATAATTATAACAAATTTCACTTTAAGCTTTTATAGAGTTGACTGCTATCTCTGCATCAATTCAATAATCGAAAAACAACATTCAACGGTTTAGTTCTTGGGGATTTAAATCATTTGAGCTTTTTTGTTCTTTTGAAGGCTTAGCTATAGTGAAGTATTGACTCTCGCTTAAACTTCGAAGGTCTATAAACTGCCTACAACGTAATGCACCAGGAAAACGGGTTGTTTTACTTCACATTTACTGTATTGGTTTCCGAAAAAATTGAAACATCAGCTATCGGCTTTATATTTAATTAATTTCATAGAGGGTTAGGTCTGGCTAGCTCAGGAAATATTTATCTTCGTTGGAAATGGCAAGGGTTGCTACAACCATGTATTTCTAGTATGGTTTTATTTGATTCCACATTTTGTTTTGATTAAAGTTTACGAAACATATTTTAAAAAGAGTTGTAAAATGACAATTAAATGGCTTACGTTCTCATTGAAATGCAATTTTTTGTCTTAGCCAGTCAGCAAATTGCTGAATGACAGTCTTTTCACGTTCAAATTCCGCGCTTGCGTACAAGTACCATAACCATTGAGCAAGGTCCATGACATAAAATTTCGGCAACTTTAGGTTGTAATCTCTGGGCGGAATTAGTACCCTCGCACGGCGTTCCGTGCCGGCTTGGGGATTATATACTGTTGTTCTTTGTTAAGACCTTAGATAGCCTATATCAATACATTAAACTAATAAACTTTTAGTAAGTAATTTATTCACGAAAATTCGACACAGATCTTTTTTTGAAAATTAAGCCAGTTTAAGTACTTTTCGTCTCTTGTATACAATAAGGCATTATGAATTGTTGCTGTCGACCAATCCTTCATTGGTGAATTATTTCGACTAATTAAATTGCTAAGCTGATGAAAGGAACACTGTTTTTCTCTCGACTGAACCTGAACAGTTGCACTTCTTCTTTTAAAGTGTTTATATAAACAACATTCCTAACTTGCACTATTCGCTATAGACAAGTTATGGATTCTGGAAATATACTTGTCCCATGTACGCTGGGAAACGCTTAATATAATAAATTTATTGTTCATTTGTGTTTGGTTTTAGGTTTGTAGGACTGTTTTAAATTTTTCTCCAATACTTCTTTAATTTTTTTCAGATGGAAAACCACCAGGTTTGGATGAAGACAAATTGTTGGGTTTAGACAAATCAATTTTTTACGTGATTGTCGGTGTTGTTTTCGTTCTTATTCTTGTGGTCAGTTTTGCAACTTATCGTCATGTAAAACGTCGCCAAATGCAAAGGAAGGCCGAACTGCGGAAGAAAGAATTATTCTTTCCAAGTGATAAAAAAGCCAAGGGAATCTCATTCCAACAAACTGGGGATGACTCCGAAGGTCGTGGTGAAATAGTAGATCTTAAGGTTTTCGATAACGAAGCTATCAGTCTTGACGAGGAAGTCAAAATACAGCCCTAAGTCAGTTTTGTTTCATTGCTGCCTCTAACTTTTTAAGGTGATTTAATTGTAACTTTGGTATGCATGTGTATTGATTCAAAGATAGTGATTCATATACTTTGTAGAATAGGGTCGTTCAGTCTTAGAAGGAGTGACATTTGGTTACCTGTACCTGTTTCCTTTGTGCCGCTTAAAACAAGTTCCAAACATCAATTTTGAAAAAATAGAAACTATTTCCGTGACTCTATTTCGTTTATAAATTCAATAATGAAATACTTTAACTAAGATTAGTGATTGTCGGTAACCAATTTCACTTTTAAAAGAAAGATTTTGCGTGCTCTATGAACGTAGTTTTGCCTGTAGACGTTTTTAGAATAATGTGATAAAAGTATGAGACTTTACTCAACCTATGATCGGTGCCTTAATTTTATCATTATGTAGTAAATAGTCCAAAACGATAATGATGAATCTATGATGATGAATTATACTAATATATATCCACCTATTAAATATATACAGCAAAACACTTAAACAAAATAAAAAGGTATGCATTAAGACGTCTGTTTTTGTTTTTCGACAAATTATCATGAAAAGAGAAGGTACTTTTGAGGTAGAAAGTTCTTTCTTATTAAGTATATAATATTATGCAATTATAGGTGCATATAAGGCAGTGTTGCTTAGTATAAATTATTATTTGGGGCTTCACTATCAAGCTTTAGAGCGTGGCAGGTGTTTCCGAACACAATGTATTAAACCATGAATCTAATAGATCTCATAAGAGCGTAATCGAAGCAACATTCCCGTTCTCTTATCCCAAAGCCAATGTATCCGAATGAGATCTAAACTCTAATGATTTTCGTACGTGATTTAAAAATGCCCAGCAAATTACTTTCATACAAGACATAACTATCGCAATTATCGCTACTCTGGTTTTAATGAAAGTAATCACCACACAGAGATTGCATTAACGACCCGACGTTTCGACACTCTCGTCTGGTGTCTTCATCAGGGGTGATCTGAAATTGATATACTTTCATCATTTAATACTCACAACATGACGTGTCTATCAATCAGATGCATGTAAATATTCTTTTGGCAAATAGTATGTGTCGTTCCTATTCAGGGCACAAAGACTAGGGGCTGGTTGTATAAAAACGTAGATAGCGCTAACTGCAGTTAAAAAGTAGTTAACTTTAATCACGTATAGTTAAGCCGGTGGTATATATAGTTAGCCTTAACTGCAGTCATCGTTAACTTTCCAAATCGTAGTTAAAAATGGCGTCTTGAGCTTTCGAGGAGTGAGAAACATTAAAAACAACACATACCAAGGTTGTCAACCGTTATACATTCAGAAAAGGCCCCGTCGAAGCTTGTAAACTTTCAATATGCTTTTATTTTTTTCATTTGGGCAGCAACGGAGTATATTTTTGCTTCGGGAGACGTGTTGATGCCAAATTGCGATCCTAGCAAAGATTAGCTATCTCCATTTTCAACTGCAACCGGTATTTTGACTCAAAGGGACCTTTTTTATTAAGAGCGCCATTTTCATTGAATTATTTTGAATTTTTTCCTTGTTTTATTCCATTTTTTTCCAATATTTTAGATCAAAATAATGTCAATTTTTGTAAACACGAGTCAACAGTCTTGTTCAAAATCAATAAAAGCGGTCAATAATTCCTCGATACTTCACGTTATTTCTCTGTTTAACAACCCCGCGCAAACTCCACGCAAGTTAACTACGTGATTAGTTAATCATCCGACTAACTACGTTTTGTGCAAGCACAGTTATTAGAATATACATGGTTTGGAGACTAGATAAAAGTACAATACAACTCATTAACTATGTTATTGTCCAGGTTTATGCAAAAAATGGTTCCTTATTCGTCACATGTCTATTTAACAATTAGACAACGAGGCGGAGTTGTCTATGAGCGAATAGTCAACGAGGCGAAGCCGAGTTGACTATTTGCTCATAGACAACGAGGCCGAGTTGTCTAATTGTTTTAGTATAAACTATAACATTAATTTACAACTAGGAAACACAATACAAAAATATTGAAACTGAAATTTATTTCGTATATTAAAGGGAAGAAAATATTTTAATTGTTGTTCGCGTAAAATGTTTTAAAATTCAGTTTAAATATAAAAATTCAATTGAGTATACGTTATTTTTATGTATTTTCTTACCCTTAAAAATTGCAATTCCGTATTTTGTTGCTTTTTTTGTTTTTTCTGGTACGGAATTGTCCAACAAGTCGTCCAAAAAATCTTCAGATACTTCGGCGAAACGCGAATTTTCCGCCATTGTTTTGAATTTTGCTACTAGTAGGCTATCACTAATAGCCTACTAGTAGCGTAGCCAATCAGAACGCAGGAAAAGTGATAGCCTATTAGTAAGTTTATACTAATGTATTTTAGCCCAACTAACCAATAGCAATGGCTTGGCTTAGCTCCTCAACCGTGACTTGAACAACATGTTAATTCAGATCTTACTATTGGTTTATTTGTTCAAAATACAATAGACACGTGACGAGTAAGGAACAACTTTTTGCATAAATGTTCCCCGACATAGATAATGAGTTCTATTGTACTTTTATGTAGTCTCCAAACCATGTCTATTCTATTAACTGTGGTGCAAGCAGTTAAGTCGTATAGTTAACTAATTATACATATTTAAGGATTTAACTACAGTGATTAGCGCTAATCACAGTTAAAGTTAACGACGTTTTTATACAACCGGCCCTAGGGCATTAATATACCTGGGGCCGGTTGTATCAAGCCCGTTTAGCTTAAACGATGGATAAGTCCAAAATAGAAAGCAATGCTATCGTTTTATTCAAGAAGCAAACTAAGTCCTTTTTACCTTAATACAAAGATACTGTTTACAACTACATATTCAGCGCATAATACTCAAGTTGACTCATTCAAGAGAGGTGTAAGCGTGCTATTTAATTTTGACTTATCCACCGTTTAAGCTAAACGGGCTTGATACAACCAGCCCCAGGGGCCGGAGTAGTATAGATAAGGGAGGTTCTGGACCTGCAATTTTAATATAGTTGAGCTTTGCCGGTTTGTTACTCAGCAATTTCGGTTTATTTTCACGCGATTTCGCTACCGTTTATTTATCTACATCGTTTGGTAGTGTCTCCTCATTGAAACCAGTGTTTTATATTTGCTTATATTCTGTTTAGAGATCTCTAGAGGCTTTAGAGATCTCATGCAGTTACATAATTAATCATAATTTAACGCTCTGCCAGTTTTTACACAATGATTGTGCAATAATTTATTGCTGCCGCAGCGAGCGAGCCTGAAGCAAGCGAGCAAGGCAGCAGACCTAATCTTTACGTTAGTATTATTATTGTTATGGGAGCTGAAATCTCGATGGATTCGGCTACCACAATGCACTGCTTTCAGGCTTGCAGGCTATTCTTGACTAATAACCATAATGCAATGTGATCATCTTTCACCTTTGGTCTTCCATGTGCTTGTAGTAACACGTTTCGTTCGAACTGAAATACGATTATATGAGGTGAGTTTTGCGTTTATATGCTTACAATATTGTTTTTCTTGTGTTAATTTGTGTGTTTTTGATATACGAAGTACCTGATTTGTGTGTTTCTAATATTTTGAGAATTGTGCATTTTGTGTTGTCCTATAAAATAAAGCATGGCCTGGGCAAATGGCCAACGATATGAAAAAAATAATCCCTGTCAATCCTAGGTAAAGATTGAGCATCTAGGCTTCTGTGTACGTTACCAATGTTTAATACTACGTTCTTATTCTTATCTTGTGTTAGGAATTGCCCTTTTAGTGATCATTTTGGGCAAAAATATGCTCTGATTTTATATTCCATTTTAGCATTTGTATTCCAACCTTACCTCGCATGTCAGAGAGCACATTTATTAATATTAATTACCATCTAGGTTTCTGTGTACGTTTGGGAAAGTGACATATCAAAGATCACTTCCGGATCTCACTACACCCTGTCGAGGGCCGTTGTCAAGGAATATAACGGAGACAAATATGTAACTCTGATCAGAAGAACTGTACTCAAAGAGGCAGCCGCCACAGTAGATCGAGAAGACCAGGTCAATGTTGCAAGAAATTTGAAATCGGTGGAATGCCCAGCAGAGGGTGTGGACTCGATCAAGAGATTCCTGTCATGTAACAGGTGCCAAAGGGAAGTTGGCGCCTATAGCCGGTAAAAATATAGTAAAATGTAGTGAGTGTGGGTTAGCACAGATGAAGAGCAAATGCAAACAAAGGTTCCTTGCAAGTGTCTTGTTCAAGGACGAGGAGGGAAAGTCTAGCACAACCCTTCTTTTGTTTGAAGACAAGTTGCAACAACTTTTTGAGATCTTCAAGGAAGACAGTATTACCCCAGAGTTGGATTTCAACTCCATTGACGATGATATGTTAATAGAGGTTTTGCTAACAGTTAATGCAAATGTCTTTTATAACACCAAGAGAAACGTTGTCTCAGTCTCAAGAAAATAACGCTGCCAAGTAAACATGAGTGACTATATAATGGCAGTCGGTAGACCGATTGACTGCAAACATTATAACATTTCGTCCTAATATAGTTCTGTTCTGTTTTGTTTTGATATTAATGAAACTGTTATAACGCCAAGAGATGTTTACATCTGCATATGAATTTCAACAAAAGAACGCAAAGAATAGTTGAAGTGACTATATGATGGCAGAGACTTATAGACTGCAAAACTGTAACATTTAGTTTTAATATAATTTTGCTCTGTTTTGATATTATTAAAGTGTTCATTTTGTTCATGATTTCTTATCAGTTGAAAATATAAAGCCTGGTTCACACCAGTGAGATCATCACAAGCAGAAATAAAACTTTCCCTCTAAGGCTCGAAGACAAAGAGACATATGTCTCGTTCTGGCTTACCTTAATCCTTATGCTTATAGGCTTGTATTTAAATATTGAAAATTTCTGAATAATGCTATGCCAAGCAGCATTAGTACCCTGTGGGTAAACTAGTTATTCATATAAGTACGCGCAGGGGCGAGGAATGGGGTAAACAATGAAGCGTAAATACGCACAATAGCGTAAATACGAACAATAGCGTAAATACGCAGGATATGTTTGTTTGACAGCTATTTACTTAAATTAAACAAATGCCGGTTTACTTATCACACAGTAAGAATTTACGAAGAGTTTATTTCATTTTACTAGGATTACACATTTGTATGTCAATATTTAGTACCATTAGACTAATGTTCATTTTAAAAGATTCGTTTTCTATATATGCTTTGTGATACAGTTCAGCTCGTACGTTAACCCTGATTTAATTGTCCTCATATATCATAATGTCAATATGCCGTTGACACACGAATCATTTCCATACATCAATTTTCATGTTATCGAGCTACTCAAAGTGTACTTGCATGGAATATGAGGTGGAATATCGGTTACAAATTTTGTGCGATGAGCAGATGAGTACCTGCTCGTAACTGCTCATGAGCAGATGCTCATCTGCTCAAGATATTTCATACCCACTTAAAATTTTTGTTGATAAAATG